AGCTCTTCAGCTCAAGGCTAGCGCTCTACCACTTGAGCCACAGCGCCACTTCTGGCTTTTTTCTTTTTGCTTATGTGGTGCTGAGGAATTGAACCCAGGGCTCATGCATGCAAGGCAAGCGCTCTACCACTGAGCCATCTTCCCAGCCCTGTCCCTGAGCTTCTTTTAGCTCAATGCTAGCACTCTACCACTTGAACCACAACACTACTTCCAGCTTTTTCTGTTTATGTGGTGCTGAGCAATCGAACCCAGGGCTTCATGGATACTAAGCAGGTACTCTACCACTAAACCATGTTCCTAGCCCCTAGTCTGTCCCTTTCTCTGTTGTCTGTTCAGCCAACATAAGCTATATATAGCTTTCGGAAGGTGTTCTGTATCTCTCCCTGACACCTTGCCTCCTTTCAGAAGACCCTAGGCTTCTGCGATGCCTTCCCACTGTGGCAGATTCTCATGGCTTGTCTGTCCTTCTCTCTTGCTCTTCTCCTCCAGTTCTACAGTGAGTCAGGCATGCCTACCAAACACCTTTCGGACAGCGTATGTGCCGTGTGTGGACAGCAGATCTTTGTGGACGTCAGTGAAGAGGGCATCATTGAGAACACGTACAGACTGTCCTGCAATCATGTGTATCCTGCTTTCCTGGTGCTCCTGGACCCCGTCTCTCCTAAGACTACACTCTAGTCAGGGGTGGTTGTGACTCTAGACAGAGTTTGAGTGTAAGAAAACCACAAAACTGCAGTCTTCCTCACCCTTGTGCTGTCTATATGGAAGGAATGGTAATAGATTGCCAGGTCAAAGAGAGCCTGAGCCTGTGCTAGCTGACCTAAGAGCAGTTAGCACAGGGAAGGACCTTTAATGGGATCCCTCAGTTTACAATCAAATCCCCATTCTAAATAACACTTCTCCTATATGTCGTATATTTGCTGTGTTATGTTGGGAGGTCCATGTGTAATATTTTATTTTGCCCTACAGCAAACATGTAATGTGGGGATCATTATCCCTGTTGCATGTGTGAAGAAACCTTTGGTTGAGAGAGAAAAGACTTGCTCAAAATTCCATAGTTTATAAGAAGTGAAGGCAGCAGGCCCCAGTAGCTCACACCTGTAATCCTAACTACTCAAGAGTCTGATATCAGGATTGCGGTTTGAAGCCAGCCTGGGCAGAAATGTCCCCATGAGACTCCTGTCTCCAATTAACCACTTAAAAACCGGGAGTGATGCTGTTGCTCAAGAGGTAGAGGGCTAGCCTTGAGCTTAGAGGCTCAGGCACAGTACCCCAGCCCTGAGTTCAAGCCCTACAACCGACAAAAAAAAAAAAAAGTGAAGCCAGAATTGGAACCTTTCTAAAACTAGTGCTGTGCTGATGTGTTATCCTGGCTTCCCACCACTTGCCTTAACCAACGATGCTCAGATTCCATGAGTTTTGTATCCGTGGGTGGTGCATTGTGGGAAAGAAGCAGACGTGCCCCTATTGCAAAGAGAAGGTAGACCTGAAGAGGATGTTCAGCAATCCGTATCCTTTGTTTGGGTCCTTGTTGGGAATGGAGGGTGGGAAGAAAATACTGGCCCAGACACTGAGCAAGTGTCTGGGTTTTCCTGGGCCTTGTCCCCAACCTGGATCAAACCTACGATTCAGTTTGGCTGCTTTGGCTACTGTTCCTGGGAAGTTGCAGTGTCACATGGGGTGGGATCCAAGCTTCCCATCATAAACTCTAGTAATGGCTGTCCCCATTTACTTGTGTGCTTCCTTTGTACCTCTCTTGTAACTGCTCATTCCATGTGCTGGCAACTTTGACCTGGATATAATTGACAAGTGAAACAGTTTAGTGATTGAGAACTTTGCGCACGGTTATCCAAGGAGCCATTCCTTACCTGTTTCATGTGGCTAGAGATTGGATCTGTGAGTATGGAAGACCTGCAAGGCAAAGGAGCAGCTGAGGGGCGCCTTCTCCATCCATTGTGAACTTGGGACCTGTTTCCCGAGCTGGCCTCCACTCCTTTCCCCAGCCACTCTCCAGCTCTCCCTACACTTCTAGCGGACTGTACTCACCGGGGTTCTCATGGAACATTACATTCTTAGCACACGCTCACAGTCCTTGAACAGGAGATTCTGGCCTCCCCCTTTCAGGTGTTCTGTTTCATTCTTCTTGGGCCCCGTTTAGGAGGAACAGTTGTAATTCCATAGCCGTGCTGAAACTTGGGGTTTCCTTAGCTCTCAGAGACATGGGCCAAGCTGGGTTTTCCCCACAGTTTCATGAACTTTCTCTATACTTTCCTTGGAGCTGGACTTCCCAGGCTCGCTCTCCCACCCCCCTTTCCAGCATTTAGATCTAAAGTTAAAAGAAAGAGCCCCCCGTGTCTCTTGGGTTACTTGAACCCACAGGGCCTCCTTCGAGGCTTTGCCAGGACTGTCCTCTTAATCCCTGTTCCCTTCTGCTCTGTCCCTGGAATCAGCCTCCTCTTAACAAATTTGCATACCAGAAGAACCTTTGGGGTTACCTTATCCCACTTCCATCCTTCTTACAGCCATGGTCACGGATACGTTTACAGCCTATCTATAGATCTCAGGCTTCTTTCTTACACTAACAGGCTCAGAGAAATCGATACACAAGGCCTCCATGGTTGTGAAGAGTTGTTTCACCTCTCTGCCTTCATGCTGTCTCCAGTCCCTGCTTCTCTCCTCCCCCCATTCTCAGCCTTTGGCTCTTATTTTCAACATGGAGGGAAGAGAGCTTTCTTCTAGACTAGAGCGGTGGGAACATGTGGGCAGATCCAAGGAGGGTCTTCCCACGGTGCTGGGTGATGTTAACAGCCTCACAATGTAGCCTCTAATCCTTAACACGCCGACAGCTGGGAGAGGCCTCATGTCATGTATGGACAGCTGTTGGACTGGCTTCGATACTTGGTAGCCTGGCAACCTGTCATCATTGGCCTGGTGCAAGGCATCAACTACGTCCTGGGTCTGGAATAGTCAGGGAGAGCATCCATGAAGAACCCACCCCCCCTGCCATGGACCTCAGGGCACTCTCCTCGCTGCCCACGAAGACCTGTGCGGGAAAGACTCAAAGGGGTGCTTGGGTCACTCAGGACCTCTCTGGCTGTGTCCGGGCTGGGGAGGGATATGAGAACCAGCCAGTGGAGCTGTCAACGGTGGGGTGGGGTGGGGTGGGGGGGAGGCTTTTTAAGAGAAAACTATTTTGATGAATATATTTAAAAACCTTTTTTATTGTGGAGCAGAGGAGTTACCCCCTCCAGGTCTCACCCTGCCTGAGCAGGGCTGGGGCAGAGCCATGATGTTTTTGGTTTAAAGAAGCCTCACCTCTGGCTGAGAGCATTATTAGTTCTCAGGTAGCTGAGAGTCTCTGCCTGCATATTCCCTTTCTTCCCTTCCCTTCCCTTCGCTTTCCTTTCTTTCCTTTTCTGTGGGGTTCAAGTGTGGTGCACTCAGTGTCGAAGAGCTGAAAAGCTCAGACTGGTGCCACAGATGAGCACTAAGGGGGCTTCCTTGCTGCCCAGTGTAGGAATTAGGATGGGTATTGAGTTTGATTCTGTCTCCCCTGTCCAGGAGCTAAACACAGGGTGGGGTAACTGGGACCTCATCAGTCACTTTTCCCAGGGAAGCCCGGGCCTCAGGATTCATTGATGATGTGTTTTGGGATAACTGAAAGAAACCGCACCACGGATAACCTGCCCTGAGCAGGCTGTCTTCATCCAGGAACAGAGGCCATCTGGTTTTGGGGTAACTGTTGGTGTGATTGAAGGCCTCTTGTACAGGTTGATCCATCAGTGAGGATATGTGCCAAAGGCCGGTGTGCACATCACTTCCTTCCTGACAGCCTGAGCGAGGGCGTATACATGTGTGTATGTGTGTAGCGGGACTACGACAGATGTCAACTTCTTCACTTGTCACACTGTGTCCTTGAAGCTAGTGGGGGATTCCCAGTGGAGGGAACAGCCCTGTGTGAGCGTCGTTGTTCATGAGCCCTGCCTGGTGACACGATGGCATGAGAGTGGTGGGTGGGAGGGAAGGCAGCAAGGCCTACCTGAGTGCAGGTTTTGCATAGGGGCTTCCAGGCAGAAGCCGCTAGGAATTTGGAAGTGGAAGGGCACCAGTGCCCATCATCGCTGTGTTTCAAGGGAGTATGGCCCAGGGTGGCTGCCTCTTCAAGGGCAGTATCTTGTCACTTGTGTGAATAAAGCTCCATGAGCTGGGTTGGAAAGTTGACTTCTTCTTTTCCTGGGGCACGTGGGGTTGTCATGCTCCTCCCTCACTGAGAGATGGCCATGGGATGGTTAGTGTTGCCCACAGAATGCTGTGTTCTTCTCCTGGATTAGGGTTTAGGATGCCACTGCACCCTGCCACCCCCCTCCCTCAAGGTCAGTCTCAGATGGGTGTCTCTCACCCATCTGTGGCTTTGCATAGTACCCATGCCCTCGCTAGCACTCTGAGCCCATCCTCAGGGCAATGAAGACTGGTCAGAGGGCCCAGAGATCACTTTTGTCCTCCCTAAAAAGCATAGTTAGCCGTCCAGAATTCCACAACTTCCCAGTGGCCACCTCTGATCTTGTTTCCTCTCGGGTAGAGAGGTGCCATTAGCACCTATTCCCCCGTGAACTCTTCCAGAGCACCCAAGTAGCCTTCTTCCCTGAGTAACTTGTGGAGATTTGGTGCTCCTGGGAGGACTTTTCCCTGCAACCTAGAAGCCTCTAGGCAGGAAGTAGGCAGAATTGCTGAGGATCTGAAATGTGAACTTGGCACCAAAAGGACAGGGATTTTAGTCTACACCTGAATCTGTCCATGTGCCTGAAGTGTCCTCCAAGCCCCTTCCTCCCCCTTACCCCACCCCGCTTGTGCTGCTTGAACTCTGGGCCTGGGCACTGTCCCTCAGCTCTTCAGCTCAAGGCGAGCGCTCTACCACTTGAGCCACAGTCCCACTTCCAGTTTTCTAGTGCTTTATTGGAGATAAGGGTCTCATGGACTTTCCTGCCCTGGCTGCCTTTGAACCATGATCCTCAGATCTCAGCTTCCTGAATAGCTAGGATTACAGGCGTGAGCCATTGGTGCCCAGCTACCTCCACGGTTTTTATCAGCTTATAAACCTCAGGCACAGTTCTTCCCCAAACGTAATGTGTGCGTGCGCTGGATTCTCCCAATATGGTCTTTCTGCTTCCGTAGGTACTTGCAGGCCCCTGAGAGAGTAGTGAATGTAGCTCAGCTTTTGCCTAACCCCAGTCCTGGCCCTAACCCAGCCCTAATGTCCTTGGTTTGTGCCATACTAAGAAAGGCCTTCCTCTTTCAAAGTTAACTCTCAGCTTGCATCATATTCTGGGCTTGGCTATGGATTTCTGCAGACTAGGCAGGGAGATGCTATTTCCTGAGTTGTGGCATATGTTCCTAGCAGCACTGGACCTGTCTGTCCCAGAAGGGAGCTTCTGAAAAGGGAGCATTTCTGGACATTTTGGGAACCAGGTAGGGAAGATCTGGAGGAGCAAGGGGAGAGTTTGAGTCATAGGTGGATATTGGGTGAAATAGGGCTGGGTGGAGATGGGGAGCCTAGAAAGACTAGGATGTTGATGGGCTTGTATGGCCTTGAACCTAAAGTGTTTGGTGAGCCAGGCTGAGGTCTCTAGTACCTAGGAATGTTGTCTGAATATTGGTATGAAGGTGGAGGAAGCAATGCCCCACCTCAATAAAAACAAAGGTCTAGCTCTTATTAAAGCACAGAGGGGACTCTTCACGGAATAGGACAGAGTTGACCTGTGGCACTTACATAGATTGCACCTGAGGTGGCCCTGGGGAGTAGTCAGGTCCGGCTTGGTGTTTGAGGAGTAGGGACCTAGGAGTTAACAGAATGAGATACTGCCTCCGTGGCTGCTTTGGGGAGCACTGGTACACCGAGCCCCGTCCTGTGTGTATGTGCATGTGCGTGCGTGCATGCCTTGGACAAAGTGCCTGGTGTCACACCATCCTGGCCTGGCTCTGGATGACAAGCACCCAGGAACAAGTGGAGCTCTGCCTGTGGGGAGGACAGGTGGCCTCTGTGGGAACAGCCTCCTAAAGGGGCTGGGAAGGTGGCTCGGTGGTAGAGTGCTTGCCTTGCATGTATGAGGCCCCAGTACCACAGAAGCAGAAAAGGCTGGAAGTGGCGCTGTGGCTCAAGTGGTAGAGCGCTAGCCTTGAGCTGAAGAGCTGAGGGACAGTGCACATGTCCAGAGTTCAGGCCCCACGACCGACCAAAAAACAAACAAAAGAATTCCCTAAGTTCATAATAAAAGTGAAAGTGAAAGTGAATGGAGTGGGCCTTGCTTTCCCAGAAAGAGTTTTCTGCATCCTGCCTTCCCGGACAGGTGCTGGTGGCAGAGCCAGCGTTACCTCCTGAGTGACAAGGTAAGTCCCTGGCCTCAGCCTGTGTTCCTGTCTGTATGAAAGGGGTAAGATTGGACTGGGTAGCCATCACATTAGTTAGAGCCAGGTGAGGGAGTTTATCACTTGGTAACAGCCAGGAGTACTGACAGCTCCAGCCTGTGCTGCAGGCAGCTTCGGCAAGTTAACCAATGGGACAGATGGACAGGACAGCGCTGGGAAGCCCACTGAAGGTTTGGCTTTTTACAGAGCAGCTATGAAGTTGACAGATAACGTCTCTCAAAGGTGTGGTAGCTGACCTTTCCTCATCTCTCCCCAGATCCTGCGTATGCAACATGACAATGAGACAGATCCGGATAGCAGGTGGGATGTGGGCTGCAAGGGGGGATGTGCTGAACAAAGCGGTACCCCCAGGGGAACCCCCCCCCCCCGACTGGATAATGGAGATACACCAGCCCAGGCTCCATTCCTAGGCTTCTCTGTGCTCCGTTCAAAAAGTCCGGAGGGACCTCCTTTCCTGGCTTTACCCCACGCATCTCTAGCCTAGGGTTATACCCTTAACCAGGTTGCAACTTGGTTAAGATAGAAGTCGGAGTGCTGAGCAGTGCCAGGAAGGTCAGTTGATAACTTCTGTGACTGTCCTTTCTCCAGACCCCACTTCTTTGTGGGTCCTGCTTCTGTGTGCCCACACCATCACTCCCCTGGCCCGAACCGCCTCAACCCCTGTGACCACCACAGCTGCCTCGGCCTCAGCTGGGACCACCAAGAAAGCCTGCCTCACCTGGCCCCCAGTGCGCCCACCAACTAAGCGGTGCCCAGCATTGGAGGTGACCTGGCCAGAGACGGAAGTGCCACTGAGTAAGGAGCAACAGTGGGAGCCCAAGGAGCACAGAGTGTCGGGTGGGTTGTGGCACAGACATCCCAGGGGTTGGGCTGACTCTTTGGTGGACCTTACACAAGTCACCAGCCAGGCCAGACCCAAAGATAATCTTTATTGAAGATGAGACTCAGACATAAGCAGTGGTAATGGGACCTCCATAGGCCTTGGTTGCAGTGAACTAGGTGTGCTCTGTCCAGAGCCTGCTTGCCCTCCAGCTAGCTCGAAGTCATCAGCCTGTATATGTCATGTCCCCTGTGGCCTGGCCTCCCAGAATCAGAGACTGGACACCAGAAAATGTCATCCTGAGGGAAAGGCTCAGAAATGGGTTCATCATATGGACGAAGGACCCTCCCCCACACTCCCTGTGCTCAGGGCTTTCTCTTGCAGACCCCTACGTGTGCTTCCCCTCTCCCCCTTCATTTCTTCTGTAGGCGGGGTGCACAGCAGTGCTCCAGCTTCCTGATGGGAGCTAGCAGGGTGGGCAGGGTCTGCTCTTGGGAAGGGCTAACAGGCACATGTGCCCCTAGATGGATCGCTGACCTTGTCCTGTACTGCCTGCAGCCGCTTTCCTCACTTCAGCATCCTCTACTGGCTGGGCAATGGTTCCTTTATTGAGTACCTCCCGGGCCAGATGAGAGAGGGCAGCACCAGGTGAGGGTCCTCAGCAGTGAAGCAGCGGGAGGGAGGCCTCCCCCTGTGGTCCTCTCATGCCTGCCTTCCCCTGCTCCAGCTACGAGCACAGGCGCACAAGCACTCAGCTTCAGAGGGACTTGGTGCTGGAGGAGCTGAGTCCTACCCTGCAAAGCACCAACTTCTCTTGTGTCTTTGCGGACCCTGGACAGGTCGCCCAGCGCTATGTCATCCTGGCTCAGCTCTGGGTGAGTAACCCCCAAGGGAGAGCATCCAGGGACAGGAGCTGCTGCTTTGTGGGGAGGGAGGAGAGGCTGCAGTAGCCCCTGTGTTCACTCTTCCCCTGTCAGCCTAAAGTGAAAACAAAAAGAGGCAAGGCCTAGAGGAAAATGATAGGTGTCCCTGTGTTCCTTAGTTCTGATCATTGTCTGCCTTTACCTCCCCAGGCCAAGCCGAGGACAGTGCCAGCCCCATCACAAGGAGCCTTGCCCTCCAGCCGTCGCCCTGGGCTCCAGCTGCCCACATCAGCAGGGCCCAGAATCAGCACAGGGTCAACAACAGCACAGCCTTGAGCAGAGCCTGGGGCTCCTCGCTTGGAGGGTGAAGCCTCCACCTCCACTTAGCCCATCCACTTTTCTAATGCCCTACTCAGGACACTGCTTTCCTGCTAAGGACCCTCCAAGACCTGCCGACGCCCTGGCCCAGCACCCAAGGGCCTTGACAGCCCCTGCTGCACCTCTGCTCACGTGCTCCCTTGTCACCGTCTCAGCACGGGAGCCCTGAAGCCTGACGGAAATGCCAAACAGCTCTGGACACATTCGTGGTGGATTGTTTCTCATTTTCTTCTCTCTCCCAGCTCCCCTAACGTACCAGCCGCAGGGGGGTCTGCTTCCCACTCAGCTGTGCCCTTGTCATTCCCAGCAGGGCACACAGTGAGCTGGCGCAGGATTACTCAATGAAATGTCCTGACCTCTGCTCGGGCCCCAGTCTGTTCACAGGAACTTTGCCTGCCCTGGAGGGAGAGCGCCTCCCGGAAGCCAAGTACAAAACCATACTGAAAAACCGTGCCCTTAAAAAGGAAATAGAGTGCCTGTAATCCTAGCTACTCAGGAAGCTTAGATCTGAGAACAGGCATGCAGCCAGCCCAGGCAGGAAAGTCTAAGACTTTTATCTCCAATTAGCCACCAAAAAGCCAAAAGTGGAGATGTGGCTCAAGTGGCAGTGTGCTAGCCTTGAGCACAAAAGCTTAAGGACAGTGCCCAGGCCCTAAGTTCAAGCTCTAGAACCTGCACAGGGGAAAAAAAAAAAAAAATTAAGAGCCAGGCATCAACTCTGTAATCCTAGCTACTCGGGAGACTGAGATCTGAGGATTGTGATTTGAAGCTAGCCCAGGTACAAAAAGTCTGTGAAACTCTTACCTCCAATTAAGCACCAAAAAGCCGTAAGTGGAGCTGTGGCTCAAGTAGTAGAATGCTCACTTAGAGCAAAATAGCCAAGTGACAATGTCCACACTGAGCTTAAACCCCAGACCTTGTATGTGCACATGCACACAAACAGAGACAAACCTTAAATGTTCCTCGCAGCACAGGCCAGGTGAAGTGAAGTTCCTGGGCAAAATGTGACCCCAAGAAGAGATAGAGAGAAGGGTGGTCAGGGCTCTGGAAGCAAAAGCAGGCTCAAAGAGCCTTGATTTGGGGTGGGGAATGTAGGCTAGTGGTAGAATGCTAGCCTTCAGCAGAAGAAGCTCAAGCCCCAGGTCTGCCCCTCCCCCCCCCCCAAAAAAAAAAGCAAGCTTCGATTTACTCTTTCCATACTGATTAAGGTAGCTCCACACTCAAGGGAGAAAAATAGACTTTATTTACAAGTAATAACATTTAGAAAAGATCCATCCCGACTCTTAAAAACCTTCCCCTCATTCCAAATCCCACCCCAGTGCAAGTTTGGGTTAAATGGGATTGTGAGCTATTGTCAAGGGCTGCTCCTACCCCAGCCCTGAGACCCCAGGGCCTATTAGTCCTTGGGGGCGAAGGGGCACGTGGGGAAGAAAGCATTCTCTGGACAGCTGTGCCCTTGGGTGGATGGAGCACTGGGGCAGGAGCTCCTATCAGGTGAAGCCCAATCCTGGGCTTCAGGAGCAAGGGCCTCCTGTAGGCCCGGAGCAGCTTCTCCAATGGTCCCTTCTAGATCCAGAGGCTGAGAAGGACTGGCTAGTTTCACAGATTTCAATCTCAGATGCAGCCTCTAATCAGGCTATGATGGAGAAGTGACTGCCCCAAGAAAAGAATCGGGAGGCAAAGATGAGAGAAGGCCCACCCTGTCCATGTGACAAGCCTCCGGGCCAGCTCTGAGACGGTGCCTCGAGACGGCACCAGTCAAGGTCCGGATATCAGGCCAGGGTACAGGCAGGCGTCACTGTCTCTGGGGGTTTGGCCACCACCGGCCTGGGAGCTGAGAGAAGGCACTGAGGGACAGTAGAAGGAAGTGGACCGGGTGAGGCCAGCACTGGTACTGGCTCCTTAGTGCTTTGCCTGCAAGAGAGAAAGAATCCTGTGTTGCTAGCCACCAGCAACCTACCTGGCTTCAAGTTACCAATTGTTGGCTGTGCCTAGGAGCCCTTGGTCATCTTCAATGAGCTGCTTAAGCAGAGCAGGGGACATATCCCCATAACCCCCAACCTTCAGTGGCCTAGCGTGGCCCTGCCTTGGGGAGCTTCCCCATGGGCCAGTCAGGGATTATGCATGCTTTGCACTAGGCTCCTTCCCTCTCCCTCCCTCCAGTGTGCCCACCTTGCCCTTGGCCCTAGGGGTGGCAGTGCTGGCAGCAATGGCAGAAGCAGTGGCGGCACTGGCTGTGGTGGTGGCGATGCGTGGAGAGCGACGAGTCCCACTGCGGGTGTTGGGGGAGGCTTTGGCTGGGGCCTTCTTTGAGGCTCCTCGCCGCAGAAGGCTGCTCCCCAGCTTCTTCGGTGTGTTGAGGATGCTGAAGGCCATGGACTGGCGTAGGTCAGCCTGTGGGAATGGTCCATTTGTCAGAGCCTGGCCTGGCAGCAGGGCCTGTGCTCAACCAACAAGGCTTCGAGGCTTGCCCCAGCCTAACCTGCTTCAAGACAGCAGGAGCTGCTTTCTTCTGGGCCTCTGTAGTGCTCTGTCTGCGTCCTTCGTGCCGGTCCCGTGGAGTCATGGGGCGTGGAAAACAGCTGGTGGCCTTCTTGGACTGGGGAAGAAGACAAGCGGAGAGGCGGTGGCTGCAGGGCAACTTGTCCCAGGGCCAAGCAGAGCTGGTCAGCCCGCTCCCTTTCCAACTCTTGGGAAGAAATCTCCCCCTAAATTTGCTTGGCTACTAGGCCTGACCTGGGCACACTGCTACACAGAACAAAACACACACCAGAGCTCCCTACCTCAGGGGTGCCAGGGCCCTGGTGGGTCTCTGAGGAGACTCGTTTGCGCTGCTGCCGGGTGGTGATGCCAGCTCCTTCTGCAATCTGGGCCGGCTGCATGCTAGCTCGGCGCAGGGTCTCCCGGGGGTCTCCAGTCTTCATCTCCTCGTCGGTGATGGTGGCCAAGCTCAGGGAAGGCTGCATAGGGTAAGAGCTGGTCAGGGAGACCCAGCAGTATGGAGCTGGAGCAGGAGCTGGGCCATGTCAGGACTCCATTCACACACCATACAGAGCTGCTGGGTCCTTCCTGTCCTAAAAGGTCTTCCTTCCTATTTGCCCAGCACCTGTGCTCAGGGGACACTAATAGGTGGCATTTAGGGAAGAAGCCAGGGGGAAGGGGATGGCCCCCAGGGCTCACCCTGGACTCCAGGGGGTAGCAGGTCTTCAAGTGGGGGGGGCACACGCGGTTGCGCTGCTGCAGCTCTGCAATGCGGTTCCAGTCATCCAGCTGTTCGGGCTCATCTTGGCACGTGCCCATGTAGAAGCTGTTCCTTCCTGTGGGACAGGCAACGTGGATCCGACAGGCTGGAGTCAGCATATCACCTACTGGCCCCATGTCACCGCTCTGCCCCACCAGTGCCCCTCCTGCATCCCGGGGCCTCAGCGCTGCAGATGCAGGGGCTTCACGCGGGGCACAGGACAGCAGAAGGCAGAAGCAAAGGTGTGCTGTCTTATTTGTTTGCCAAGGTGTGACACCCATGCCAACTAGAAATTGATACTTGGGGGAGGGGGGTGGGCAGCCTTGAGTGCGAAGGGCAAGCAAGAGCCTCCAGGAAATGGCTGGTTGACATGGCCCTTCCAGCTCTAGATCATCACCTCCTGAGAGGAGGGAAACAGCAGGGATTGCCCTGCTGTGCTGATGCCAAGTAAGGCTTGAAACTAAGGGAGAAGCAGCAGGTGGTTGTTGGTGCAGGAAGGTAACAATGAGGCCGTAGATCTGTAAAAGTCCACCTCTTTAGGCACAGTGGCTCATGCTATAATCCTATTACTGAGGAGGTGGAGAACAGGATTGAGGTTCTAGGCTAGCCCAAAGCAAGCCAGCCATAGGGATTCGTGCCTGAAATCCCAGCTCTATATCAAAGGCGTATCTAGGAGGATTATGGTTCAGGCTACCCTGAGCAAAGATGTGAGGTTCTACTTGAGTAAAGCAAAAAGGATCAGGGGACATGCATGGCTTAATGAGCACAGCCCCAAGTTCAACCTCCAGAACCAGGGAAAAACACACACACACACAATCTTGCCACGTTCTTATGCTAGAATCTACTTCTAGTCTGATTTGGGAATGTGATATAAGTCCCCCTCACCTGGTGGGGCCCCACTGGATACCCCTGCCTGGGAGCGGCGAGCAGAGCTGCGAGTAGTGGGCCGGTAGCCAGGCAGGCTGAGCAGGGCTGAGTTGCCATCATCGGGAGAGCCAAGGCGAGCTAGCGACTGCGTGGAGGAGGCAGCTCGGAGGTTGGCCTGGGAGGCGGGGGCAGACTGTGTGCTGTAGAAGGATGAGTTGGCGCTGTCTGGCTCCTCCATATCTAACTTCTAGAAGAGAATAAATCATGGCAGAGGATAGGGGGTCTTGACATTGCAAAGCAAGCCATCTCCCGTTCTCCACCTCCAGAACCCACAGCACAGCTGTGTCAGGTGAGGTGCAAAAAAAATGCAGTGAGAAGCCCTAAACTGCTCGGCTAGGAGGTGCCAGGATGGAACTAGAACACAGGCAACCTTGGCTGCCTATGTACTGGGGCTTCTTGACAGCAAAGGGAACCCCATCCAGAGCTCCTCCCTGCTGTACCAGAAGCACCTTGTCCTCCTCTCCAGCCTCCTGGAGATGGAAACAAGGCCAAGAACCCAGAGCCCAGCCCATCAGTGCCCAGGGCTGTGCTGTTCTCTCCCCTCAGCCTGCACAGGGCTGGGGCTGCACTGGGGAGATGGGTCCAACCCAAGCCCGCCCTCTTGGTACAGAAGTGGCTCTAAGCAAGTCACTGCCCCTCCCAAGATCAGCTTTCCTGCCTGTGGCCCCAGTGAGAGAAGTGGGCGTCACGGGCCTGCAGTTCCACAGCCTGACCTTGGTCATGGTGATGTTGATGATTTGCGTGGTGCGCCGGCGAGCAGAGCGGGTCTTACGGCCCGAATCCGGGAAGACGTCCCCCAGGGAGTCCAGGCTGCTCTCCAAGGGGGGCTGACCCCGAGCAGGGATGGGGGTGAAGTAGAGACTCTCCAGGGATTCTACCTTGGGGGGTAGGCGCTGGGAGATGGGTGAGGCTGGCTCTCCAGGAACGTTGGTGCCATCTGGCTGGGTACGTGGCAGCTTGCTATGGAGAAGAAAGCTGCTAGAGTGCAGCTCTGGGGCTATGAGGCATCGTCTGTCTCCTTGCTCCAGAATGACCATTTCCTACACTTGCTACAGGCAGATGGGGTCAAGCACCTCCTTGCTGACTTCAGAGATCTCAAGAAAACCTCTGGGTCTGGACCCTCATTTTAGTCTACTCCCCTAGTTCCTCCCGATCCCTCCACTCCAACGCCTGAATCAGCCTCAGCCCCGGACCATGCTCTCAGACGCAGATAACCAACAGTACAGACAACACCCTGGGTGCTGTAGCTACTCCGCAAAGAGCCGGTCCCAAATAAGGTCCTGTCTGCTCTCCTGCATCTCCTAGCATAGTAAATGAACACAGGGCGAGCCCAGTCTGGCAGTGCTGCGTGTGTTCCTTGGGCCACCCCCGCTCTTGCCTGGCCTGGCTTGGTAATAAGCAAAGACACAGGCAAGACTATCCAGCTCTAAGCCCTAGCTCTACCAAGGGGCACTCTACCCTCCAGGGGGTGCTAGAGGAGAATTGTTCTGAGTGCTTATTGGGACAGGGGCACATAAGTGCAGTGGAAACAGTTTAATACAATTAAACAAGCACTGTTTCAGGCTCTACCATCTATACCAGTTATAAGAATGTTTCTAAGATGCAAATCCAACAATGTCCTCACTCCAGTCTTTCTGACGTTCCCCAGTGCCTGTTGGAAGAGAGGTCTCTGCCCCACCTCTGGATACACTGACTCACGCCTCCTCTGCCCTCAGCAGACATCAGGCCTCACCCCTGCAATGCTTTTGCTCTGTTCTCTCTGAACTTCCAGAGGGCCAAAGGACAGCAGCATCTTATTTATCTCTCTGGCCCAGCGCCTAGACTCCATCCCGCTGAGCAGTAGGCACTTGGGCAGAAGGGGCTTTCTGACCTGGTGATAGGGCGTGGGGTCCCCTCCTCGTAGCTCAGATCCAGGCTGTCGATACTCAAATCCAGCTGGGACTTTGCCTGCGGCTCTCGGCTCTTTAAGGCATCAGTTGCCACCTGAAATTTCCCCAAGTCTCGAAGTTGTTGGTCTGCATGAGCCACCTAGGAGGGAGTGAAGCAAGCCAAGGAGCAGGGGTGGCCTCAGAAAGGAGGGTGCAGGGGTCCCCTAGGTTGAGATGAGGCACGTCTTCAGAAGATGCTTACCTGTGCCTCCAGGCTGCGCACCTGGGCGGTAAGGTGGCGGCAGGTCTGTTCAGCCTCCTTGGTCTTGAGCCCTACCTGCTGCAGCTCCCGGCCCAGGCGGTCGGCTTCTGCCCGAAGCTCCTTGTTCTCCTTCTGCAGCTGCTCCAGGTCCCGCAGCTGCTCCTGCAGCTCTTGGTTCTGCTGCTTTTTGGCATCGTAATGGGTCTTGGCTTTCTCCATCTGTGTGGACACAGGGTGGGTGGGGCAGGACACAGGCTTGGGGGGGCAGGGGACTGGCAGAGCGGGCTAGCCAGGCTCCTCACCTGCAGCTTGTAGTGCTCAACTGCCTGCTCCTTCTGGCTCAGCTGGGCCTGCAACTCGTTCAGCTGGGCCTGGAGGCGTTGGGCCTCCTGCTGGCTCTCACCTCCCTGGGCCTGGAAAGCCTAGGGGGAAGAGGCCAGTCAGAAAGCCTGCCTGCCCTAACCCACCGAGCCAAGCAGCTCGGCCTCCACACGTGCCCTCACCCTCCTGCGTCTTCTCTCAGGACGCTCAGATTCCCACCAAAAAACACCAGCCATCTAGACCACTAGGCTTCACACTCCCAGTCCTGACCAGCACACCATCTGCTGGGCATCATGACATACTTGGGATCCCAGAACCCAGAGGCTGAGTGAGACAGAAGAGACTTGACCTAAATGACATCTTGTGAGGGGGCAAAAGGGGGAGACACTAAGTTCACTGTAATCGTGGATTAGACTACTGTACTCACCTCTCTCCCTAGAACCTAAACTACCTAGGCCGGTGCTGCAGGATGGCGCGGCTGTGCTCAGGAAGTTAATCACTACAGCCACACAGCTACCGTGCAGGGGAAACTGCACTAGTACAACTAAAAACCTGAAGGGAGGGGAAAAAAACTTCTTAAATTTTATGTTTTGTGTAGTGCTGGGGATCAAACACAGGGCTCTGCTCATGCTAAGGTGTTCTATCACAGCTACACCCCAGCACTTGGAGCTATCTTGTTCTTAGGGGCTTTTGCTTTTGTTTTTTGGTGGTACCAGGGTCTGCATTTAGCCTTCGGTTGGCAAGCAGGAAGTCTTACCACTTGAACCACATCCCTAAGTGCTTTTGATTTACTTTTGAGATAGGGGCCTCACTTTTGCCCAGGCCAACGTGACTTCGTGATCCTCCTAACCATGTATGACTCCTGCGTAGCTGGGATCACAGACATGTCAGCACACTGGGCTTGTTGGCTGAGATGAGATCTCACTAATATTTTGCCTGAACTGGCCTTAAACCTCCTGATTTCTGCCTTGAGTAACTTGGGATTCCAGGTATATGCTAGGACAGTTGGCCCTAGCCCTTGGTTCTCTGTGGTAGGGTCTTGCTATGTATGTAGCCCAGATTGGCCTGAACCTCACACTCCTGAGTGCTGGAATTACAGATCCAAGCCAATGCTGACTTGAATGAATATATACAGGGATGGGAATCTCTGATCTTCCCTCGAGTTCCCAGAGGGCAGGCCTCCTAGGACGTAAGTGCCCAAGCCTCCCGAGTGTCCCTATTCCATGTCCCTTACCCATCATTCCCCTCCCCAACCCTGCTCATTCAGATGCCGACCTGTCCCCTAGTCCCACCTTCAGCTTCTGCTGCTGCACCTTGCTGGCTTGGTCATACTCAGCCAGCTTCTTACTCAGCTCTTCCATCTGGTGGGGAAGAACAGAGAAGGCAACTTGGGAGGAGAAGTTTTTCCCAGACATCTGGACAAACCAGAGGCCATCCCCAGACCACTACCCCAAATTCCTAGAAGACACTCAGATCCCGTCTCCATCTTCCAGTTAGGACACACTGCCAGGGCCACCAGCCCATACTGCTCCAGCCCCGAGAGAGCCACCATAACCAGAGCTGACTGGAAGCTGCCCCCACTGGTCTTCAACCCCAGACTTCCCTGGCTGGGGGCAAGGGCACCTCGTTTGGTGCTCATGGCTACCCTCCCCCAGGAATTAAGCAAAGCCCAGCTGCTCAGACCTCTTCCCATCGCTGTGAGCTGTTAGTGCCGGTTTGAGCCATGCAGCAGCGGCGTAGTTAGCGTGGGGCGTGGGAGACAAGAGGAGGGACAACCCACGCATTCAATCCCCCCTCCCACAAAGCAGCCACCAACAAGCGACCCCTGGCTCCTCCAGGCATTCTGGGAGCCGAGGCAAAGCCAGGCAGCAGAGGGAGAGAGGCAAGGGGTCCATTGCTAACTGTTTGCTTGTCAACTCAATGGTCCTCCACCATGTCAGGCTTAGAGGGGTGACAGGAAGAATAGAGGGCCCAATTCTTCGCCGGCCTGTGCTGACAGGGAAAGAGGGTATCAGTGATCTTGCCAACTGTCTGCTACACAGGTGTATTGGGTGCAGACCCGTCTTGGCTCTCTCCGGCTTCAGAGATGTGGGTTCTGGTGCTTTAGCGTCCCCACCCCCACCCCCACCCCCACCCTACCCGAGCTGCGGTATGAGCCTCTTCCAGGGCTTTTGCTAAGTCCAACTGTGGGGAAGAAGGTGCGTGGAGAGCTGCTATTCCTTAGCTGAGCAGAACCTAGAAGGCTTCAGGCGACCTGAGGTTCCCCTTTGTCCCTGACAGGCAGGTGGGAGAGGGGGCAGAAGGGTGGAGAGGCCGACCTGGGATGGCGGAGGAGGCCTCCTGGGCCCCCTGCCCCTTCACAAACAGTCGGCAACAGGAGCGGGCGGAGGCAAGCTGCAGCCGGGGTCATGCACGACACTGGTCACCGTTTAAGCAGCCAGCACTTAGCGAGAACCCCCGGCATTACCTGCTTAGACTGCTCTCTCTGAAATACCTCTAGCTGCTCCACCTGTGCATGGGGGGGAGCAATGGAGACAGTGAGCCGGGGCCTGGGATGCCAGTCTCACCTCACCTGGGCTCTGACATTTTCCCACAAGGACTGAGTACAGTCAGGCTGAGGCTGGGCGTGTGGCTTGGTAGGAGAGCACTTGCTTATTAGCACGCTGAGGGCTTGAGGTTTGAGCCCCGGTGCCAGCACGCTCCGGGGTCCGTCCTCCAGGGCAAGAGGGGCAATGCCGACCAGCCACTTCTGCTTTTCAGCTACCCAGCAAGGAGAGGGGGCAGAGACAGTGTGGGCGCGCCGGGCATGTTACCTGGGCAGTGAGTTTCTGCCTCTCTTCCTGAAAGCGCTGCCTCTCCTCCAGGACCTTCACCTTGGCACCCTCGTACTTGGCGGTCATCACCTCCAGCTCCCGGGCAGCGTTCTGCGTCTCCCGCTGCATCTCAGCCAAGCGGGACTCGGCGTCTGCCCGCACTGCTGCCAACTCCTGGACGTATTTCTCCCGGGCCTGGTCCAGCTCCTCTTCCAGAAACTGCCTGCCGAGGCTGGCCCGCTCCCCCAGCCCCCGGTTCTCCTCTGCCAGCAGGCCGTGCGCCTTCTTCAGCATGCTCAGCTGCTCCGCGTAGCTCGCCTTCTCAGCCCGCAGCTGCTGGGCCGCCCGCTCCTGCTCAGCCAACTTCTGCCGCAGGGACACCAACTCCCCCAGATCCCGCTGTGCCCGCAGCAGCTCTGCCCGCAGCCCGCCGGCTGACTGTTTGCTCTGCTCCAGCTCCTCCCGGTGGCGCTTCTCGGCTGCCGCCTGCTCGGCCTGCAGCTGCTGGCAGAGGTGCTTGGCCGGCAGCAGTTCGCTCACTAGCGCCTGTGTGCTGGTATGCTCCAGCTGCAGGGCAGACAGGGCCTGCTCCTTCTGGAAGAACTTCTCCTGCCACGCCTTCAGTTCCTGGCCCAGCTCCTCGGCTCGCTCGGCCTGCGAGGCCAACTCCTGCCGCAGGCTCTCCGAGGCCCCGCGCTGCTTCTCCACCTCCTCCCGGAGGCTCTGCACTTCCTCCCGCAGAGCCGAGCTGCGTTCAGCCGCCCGGGCGCTGTTACTGGCTGTCTCAGCCTGGAGCAGGCGCAGCCTCTCTTCCAGCTTCTGGCTCTTCTCTGACTCGGCTACCACCAGACGCTTGAGCTCCTTGCTCTCTCCCTCCTTCTCCAGGACCTGCCGGTTCAGGATGGATACCTCCTCCTCCAAGCTGCTGATGAGGCTGCCTTTTCTCTCTGCCTCCTGCTGGCCCCGGGCCACTTGGGCCTTCCACTCCTCCTCGGCCTTGCTGTGGTCCTGAGCCTTGGCACGGAGGGTGGTCAGCTCCCTCTGGGCGGACACTGAAGCAGCCTGAGTGTGCCCCAGCTCCCGGGCCTTCTCCTCTAGCTGGCCCCGCAGAGTCTCTAGGGCCTTGTCCTGCTCGGCCCGGGAAGCGCGCTCAGACTCCAGGCTGCGCGCCAGGCTGTCGGCCTGCTCCTGCTGCTGACGACACTGCTGCTCCAGCTTGCTCACTTCTGCCCGCAGCGCCTCCAGCTCAGGCACCGGAGCCTCCAGCTTGCCAGCTGCCTCCAAGCGGGCTCCTGCAGAAGCAACTTCTCCATCAGCCACGCCTGCAGAATGCTGGTGTTCCTTTTCTTTCTGGTCCAGCTGTGCCCTCTGCTGCTCCAGGGTTTGCTGAAGCTCCCTCAGCTCTGTTCTTTGGGCTGCTTCCTGCCCACGAAGCTTGGCCAGCTCCCGGTCCTTGCCCTCCTTTTCTGCCAGGGCTTGGGCCAGCGCCTCCTGCAAGCTGGCAAGCTCCACGCGCTGCTCATTGAGAGCGTTCTGCAGCCGCATCTCAAGCTCTGCCTTGGCTGCCTTCTCCAGGGCAAGGTCAGCTTGGGCCTGGCTATGCTCTTGGGTCAATCTTGCCACCTCTCTTTCCTGCTGCCCACGTTCCTCCTGCTGCTGCCCTTGACTCTCCATGAGCGCTGCCCGTAGCTTCTCCAGCTCACTGCCCATCTGCTCGGCCTCACGCTCCATGGCTTGCAGTGCTGCCTGCGTGCTGCAGAATGGCCGTCCTGGATGCTCTTCCAGCCACTCGGACTCTCTGTCTCCAGCCTTCGGGGATTCCTTCATTAACTCCCGGGAGGTTGTTTCCTGCTGCTCACCTGCCTTGCGCACCAAGGCCTCCAGGCGGACTACCTCCTTGCTAGTGGCCGCCATCTTCTCTTGCAGAGTAGAGAGGTCATCTGCCAGCTTCTGGGCCCTGACTTCTTTCTCCTGCACCTGTTGGAGGGCTCTGGCAAGGTTGGCATGGAGCTGAGCCAGCTCGCTCTGCTGCCGGCTGATCTGGAGCTCACTGTGGGACTCTATCTCTGCCACCTTCTCCTTTGCCTCCTGCAGTTCCTGGCGGGCCCTGTCACACTCTTCTTTCAGGGTCATCAGCTGTTCCTGGAAGGCAGCATCATACTGTGCCTCCTCCCGCTGCCTCTCCTCAAACCGCTCCCGCCAGGTTGCCACCTCCTTGATGAGCTGTTCACACTCACTCTCAGCCCGGCGCTGGGAGGCTGCAGCCTCTGTCAGCTCCCGCCGCAGGGCTTCCTTCTCAGCCTGATGTGCCTCTCCAAGCTGCTGCAATCGGGCCTCTAGCCTCTTGCGCCCAGCCTTCTCTTCTTCTAGTTCCTTCCGTGCCTGCTTCCGCTGTTCTGCCAGGCTTCGAGACTCTGCCTCCAGCTCAGAGACCTGGCGCTGCTTCTCCTCCAGGGCATCTGTGGCTCTGTGCTTCTCCTCTTCCAGGCTGCCCCTGGCGATCTTCAAGGACTTCTCGAGGGCCTGGAGCTGCTCCTGGAGCTGGCCTTTCTCCTGGGCCACTCTTTCTCGCTCAGTTACTTTTTGTTGCTCAGCCTTCAGCTGGGCTTCCAGCTCTGTCACCCGACCCTGGGCCTCGCGCCATTTCTGGTGGCCTGCTTCAACTTGGGTTTGGAGTTCTTCTACCTTTTGGCTTAACTCTGTCTTCTCCCGCTGGGCCTGTGTCACTGAGGTCTGGGTACTGTCCTGGGCCTCTTTGGCTTCCCGAAGTTGCTGCTGCAGAATCTCCAGTTTAGCAGCCTTCTCCTTCTCCAGTGCCTCCAGCTGCTGGCGAGTAGCATCCCTCTCCCTTAAGGCAGCCTCTCGAACATCGGCTGCTTTGGCCAGCTGCTGGGCCAAGTCCCGCTTGGTGGCCTCCTGCTCCTTGGCTGCCTCTTGCAACTGCTGCTCCTTCTCCTTCAGACTGCTGCTCAGCTCCTCCACCTGGTGACGGAGGCCCTGCGAGGTGTGTTCTTGCTGTTGGAGGGTCTGTGCCAGCTGGGCCTGCTCCTCTTTGGCCTGCTGCTTCAGGCTGCTCAGTTCCTGATCCTGCTGCTGGAGGGTAGCATTGAGTGCGGTGAGCTCTGCAGTCAAAGAGGCCACCTGGGCAGTCAGCTGGGCCCCCTGAGCCTTGGAGGCCTGCTCCAGCTCCTCCTTGGCCTGACCCAGGCTGGAGACAGAGCTCTGCAGGTCGGCAATCAGGCTGGCCAGCTGCTGCTTTCCTTCTTCAAAGCGGCCCCTCTCAGCAAGCAGCTGGGCTTCCTGCTGGCCTCGCTCATGATCCAGTGCCTCCACCCTGGCTTGGAGCTGGGCGTTGATTGCAGCAAGAGTGGCTACCTCTTGTTTCAGGGTCTCCAGCTGGTGGGATAAAGAGATGAATGGGGATCAGCATGACTTTTCAGTCACCACACCACCTCCTTGGACACTGAGGGGCAGCGGGAACCCGCCCCAGCACACAGGCCTTCCTGGCAGCTCCGGGGTATTCCTACCTGCAGGACGTCGCCCAGTACCTCACCCTTCTCGTGAGGAGGGTTCTCCTGCAGCCGAGCCAACTGCTCTTCCAGCTGTGAAACTTTTCCCTGAAGGATTTCATTCTTTTCTTCAAAGCATTTCTGGGAGTAAAGAGACTCACATGAACAGAGCAGTGCAAAGGGCCCTGGACTATCACAAGGCTTGACACTCCTTTTGCCTTGACTTAGAAAGCAGCCAGAGACCTGGACCCATGAGGAACCTTTCTAACCCCAAGTTCTAGAAATGAGTTAAGTCACAATGTGAGCTATCACACTTACTTCCAATTCCTTATTGCATATCCTTCCTCACAATCCTCCAAATCACCACCAGCATGAAAACCACCTCTGGGCATTAACATCAGCTCTGTGCCATCTCCCACCACTGTTGGTTAGTGGCAGGCATTGCCCTGGGTGTACCTCTAAATTACTAATCCACCCACAGGTCTAGAAGAAAGCTATTACTGTTTCTTTCACAAAAGAAAACCTGACATCCAGATGTCAAGTGCCTTGTCCAATGACTACATGGTTTAACAAATGCAGAGTTCAATTCTTATTAATAGTAGTACAACTTGAGCATCCCAAATTTGGAAATCTGAAATCCAAAATCCTTTCAAGCTCCAACAATCATGCTCAGAAAGTTTTAAATTTTGAGCCAAGCATGGTACAATCCCAGCATTCAGGTGGTGGAAACAGGATAGTCAAGGACAACTCGGGTTGCACAGCTAGATTCTGTCTCAAAAAAAGTTGTGGATGTTGCAGCCGAGCACCAGCTGGCTCACGCCTGTAATCCTAGCTACTCAGGAAGCTGAGATCTGAGGATCACAGTTCAAAGCCAGCCCAGGCAAGAAAGTCCATGACACTCTTATCTCCAGTTAACCACCAGAAAACTGGAAGTGGCGCTGTAGATCAAGTGGTAGAGTGCTCACCTTGAGCTGAAGAACTCAGGGCCAGCACCCAGGCCCAGAGTTCAAGCCCCATGACTGACAAAAAAAAAAAAAAGAAAAGAAAAGAAAGTTTCTTATGTTGGGGCATTTTTAAGATTAGAGATGCTCAACCCATGAACTCTATGTAAGTATTATCAAATCAGAAAAGCCCCAGCTTCCAGTAAAAGATACCCAAGCTCAAAGAACAATTAATACTAATGGGCTGAGTGAGTGCTTCCTTCACTGGTCAGTGTGTTATCCACACAACCCCACACAGGTATGGCATCTACTCCTTTCAGAAGTTAACTTATCTGAGATCCATGCCTTCCCAGAGGAGTGATCACAGGTGTCCTGGACTTAAGCCACACCATTCCATGACAGCACACTACTGAACCCTGAGAAGGCATCTGACACCCTGAGCCCTGCACACAGGTCTCCTTTGTGGCCGACTCACCACCAGATGGTTACCTTGTCCTGCAGGGCCGTGCTGAGCTCCTTCTCAAAATGGGTCTGCTTCTCCACCCACTCCTGAGTGGCCTTGCTGTGCTCCTCTGTTAGCTCATTGAGAGCACCCTGGAGTTGCTGCAAGTGACTGGCAAACTCCCGTAGCTGAGATGCAAGAGGGAGGCCCATCACCCAGGGTCAAAGCTGGCACCACTAGCCTGGAGCCCAGGGGTGATGCCTCCAGAGATCCTTCCCCCACCCCCATCCAGTAGCAGCCAATCACACCTCCAACTCAGGACCACAACATGTACCATGGCAGCAGCCAGTCAGGATAAGGAAAGGGCCAAAGACACAGGTCTTGGCATAGACTGAAGCCCAAGTCACTGGGGCCTTCACGCACAAGTCAGCAGCCCCCCTGACCTTAAAGGAAAGGTCGCCATTTTCCTCGGAAAGCTGGTTAATCTTGCGATCCATCTGGCTTTTCTCTGTCTTCAGGTCCTGGCACTGTTTCAGAGTCTCATGCAGCCGCATGGTGAGGCTGCAGAGGGTGAGGAGCAGTATGAAGAATGTGGCTCCTAATTGGGAGCAGGGGCTGGCAGGGGCAGGCAGGGACTGGCAGGAGAGGGGCAGGGAGAGCATACCTCTCGTTCTTGCTGTGTAGTTCCTCAAGCTCCCTGGGCTCTGGTGGGCTGGCTGCCTGCTTCTCACTCAGCAGAGCCAGGCGGTCAATGCGCTGCTGCATCAGGGCTATCTGTGCGTCTGCCCCACAGCAGGGAGAGGAGGAGAGGGGAGTGAGCACAGAGCCATAGGAGCAGGAAGAGGGAGGAGGAGGCATGCAGTGTCCAGTCTACAGGAAAGGGGGCACGGGGGCAAGAATAGAACCCAGCTTCAAGAGGTCAGCCTGACCCTTGGCCCAGGCTAGGCTCTAAGGTCCAGGGCCAGTGGAGGGGACCAACATGGGAGGGCTAAGCTGTCTCCAAAGCTTCCCTGGATAGAACTGCCAGATGCCTGCATCTGCAGCCAGTCGTCTACCTTTTTCGGTGAGGAGTTTGCGGTTCTCGGCCAGCTCCAGTTCCAGCTCATCTCGGTTGTTTCTTTCATCTGCCAGTTGTTTCTTCAGCCGCCTCATCTGGAACTGTGGGGTCTGCAGGATGTCACCCATGGGGGAGGCTGGAGAACCTGAGGGGAAGCTGAGGCAGAAAGGAGATGACACAGGAGCCAGGGAAAGAGCCCGTGATGGGAAACAACGAGCAGCAGCCCAGGAAGAGAACAGGGGAGGACAGAAGAGAGCACTGGCTGGGAGGACCAAGTCCCTGGCTTCCTTTCGCTATGCTACCTCGTGCCTCATCAAATGACCCAGACACATTTTTCTTCTCTCTTCCCTATACTTTAATGTCTTTGTTGGGAGGTTAGAGGACAGATTCTCCAAGGAAAAGGGGATTCCATAAGCAGAGAATGGCCTTCGAGAGAGTGGCCTGCCCATGACAGACCCTCACCCACGTCCCCCAGTTAGTACTGGCTTACAAAAGGGATCCCAGGCCTGCTGCATCCTCCAAGCACCCCTTGAGGGATGCACCTGGTCAACAGCTCAGCCTCTACAATGCCAGGAATGGAGGACTAAACAGATGTGGAAGGCCATCCCAGGACATACCTGTTCCCACTGGAAGAGGAAGCAATTCTCTGTAGCTCTAGAAAGCGAACATCCCTCTTGCCCTGGTGGCTAGGTGGGGAGAACTCTTCAGGCAATGTGTTGGAACAGGTGGAAGAGACAGGAACTGGGGGTAAAAAGACAAACCAAGGTTAGTGCAGGGTGAGGTAGTACCAGCACTTAAACTCAGGTACTTACTAGTCTACACCCTCACCCCTTTTGGCTCTTATTTTTCAGGGGTCTCATACTTTCGCCTAGGCTTGGCCTTGAACCACAATCCTTCTACCTAGGGTGACAGGCATGTGAAACCACACAGGACCTATTTGTTGAAATTGAGTCTCCTTAATGTTTTGCCTGAGCTAGCCTCAAACCTTGACTATCCTAATCTCCAACTCCCCAATGAGCAGAGGGGATTACAGGCAGGGCACAGGCCAGATCTGCATCCTCACACAATGTGAGAACTGACCTTATTGGGGGTGAATCTGCTGACATTTTTATGCAGAGTAAGCTAGGCAGAACATGACCACATAGGCCAGTATCCAACCAAAGTCATGTGCAAGGTTTCCATTTACTCAGAGCAGAAAAGTATAGTGAGGGGGTTTCCCTGCTTAGATGCCAGACCAAGCTCTCATGCCAACATTACCCAGTCAGTTTGAGTCCTACTTTTCATGGTGGAGCCACCCTCCATTCCAAAACTCTCTCTGTCGGAGCTCTTATTAAACCAAGGTGTCCCTTCTCCAAACCACCTCTTCCCTTGCTTCCATGACTACTCTCACAGGACTATGCTATCTCTTTACTCTCCTCCTGTGTCCCTCCACTGCCTCCACCACCTCCTCCCCTGCTGTCTTCTCCTCTATACGCTGCCCATAGTTCCCACAGCTTCACTGGCTACCCTACGAACCCACATCTGGCCCAGAGCTCTCCAGCATCCTACGCTCACAGTCCCACCTCATGGACTTGAACATACACAGCAGCAGCAAATTCAATAGCCAGAAGAGAACTTTCCCAAACCTTTGTCAGAGCCCTCAGCCAAAAACTGGTAAAGCCCTCGCTCTTTCTGTTGGATGGCCAGGAGACATCCGGCATATTCCATACTTGGCTCCCTATCATGCTTACTGGTTGTTATGTACCTGCTCCCACCTAGAGCAAAAGAGCTTAGGGACAGCTCCCAGGCCCTGCTTAAGTCAAGCCCCACAACTGACTAATTAATTAATTAATTTTAAAAAGATACAACACTTTATTCCCAAGCACTGAGCCTATGTCATGTGATGGGGAACACCCCCCCCCCATTCTCCATAACCAACACAATCTCTACTCAGAGATGAGGGGTCCTCACGAGTGGCCTACTCACCTTTTGCCAAAAAGTTCTGTAGGTCCTCATTAAGATTCAATCCATCTTCATGGTCTAACATAAACTTCAGGATGACAGCTAACTCAGCCTATGGCACGGAAAGAGAAAGGGAGCCCCATTATGCAATCAGAGATGAGCCTGGGGGCTCAAGACTCTACCCTGCCAATCTCAAACCATGATGGGCCCTATTCTTCCTCTCAGATTCAAAGCTCCAACGCCCAGCCGCACACGCTTCCAGGCCCAGCGAGAAAGGGTACAGACCCCTGCTCTAGCACAGCCACAACGGAAACCAGCCAGCAGTTCAGTTCTCTGAGTCTTGGTGTGCTTCTGGCTGCCAATTCAAGAAGCTGTGGGCTCTGGCCTGTCAGTTCCAGAGCCCGCCTCACATCCAGGCAGATCAGATCCACTTTCCAGCACTCATCACCTTGATATTCTGTTCCTCCCACTTTCAGGAGACAGAGCAGGTAGGATCTCACGTTCCCCCACTTGCTTCACTCCCTACTACCTCCCCATAAAGTACATCCAGAGTAAGAATTCCTTAATAGCTTTGTAAGCGCACAGCGTCTAGCATAACTGTTGGCAATGGTGGAAGGAATGAGATAGTGTCTGACACACATGTGCGTGCACACACACACAGGCACATTCATGAAAAGAATAATTTCTGTGCACATACAAATACACAGCACAGTTAAATACACACATTAAAAAGCAATAATAGACTTTTAGAAGTCTGTTATTTAAAAGTCAGAAGTTAGGAAGTGTGCTATAGCTCAACTGGTAGAGCACTAGCCTTGAAGCTATAGAGTGTGGGGACAGCGCACCCCGGCCTAGAGCTCACGCCCCATAACTGCCAAAAAACAAAAAAAATTAGGAGTTATGTCTGGGAAGGAATTATCAGCAAGTGTTATTTCCTTCTTAATGAGCCTCAGCATTTTCTGGATTTCCTGTAAGAAATAGCTGCCATCACCAAAACCATAGTTCTTCAGAAAATAAAATGCGCAATTTCAGTATGAATGGGAATGGAAAAGATGGGGGAGAATCATAGAAGGGGTAACATTAATCAAGATGCACTGTAGTCATAAACTCACATGATGAGCTGGAATCCTTAGTACAACTACTTAGAGATAATAACAAAATTAATGAATTAAGAAGAAAAAAGAAAAGACAAAGGAACAGGGTGAGGGGAGCCAGGCTGGGCCCTCAAGTCAGGTGGAGGTCAAGTGCATACCTGAATCCTGTACTCAAACTGTTCCCAGTCCCGGGAACTTCTGGAGCTCATGGTCGCATGGTACAAGAGCAGCATGGTTATCTAGAAGCCATACAGGAGGCAGTCATTAAGTGCTCCTACTTAGTGCTCCCATCCAGCGCTCCTACTCAGGGATGTTTGGGGACTCTGAGCTACTGTCACCCAAAATGCCTTTAGTTAGCAAACAGTTCCAGGTTACCAGGCTTAGGAGACCCAAGAGACACTCAGATTTTGGTTTTTTTTTGTTTGTTTGTTTTTCTTACCTAAGGACTCCATCAATATGAAGAAAAAAAGTCAGCTGCCAAGATTCCTGCCTGGCTAACTGCCCAGGTACTGCAAGCAGACACAAAGGCCAGGCCTCTCGACAGACCAGCAGAGGGAACGAAGCAGGCTGCTACGGTGAGACCTGATTCCTGATGGCCTTCAGCACAGGTCTAGTTAACCTGTCAGGTGGCTGTCTGGTCCCACCCCCAGCATCCAAGGACCACAGAAATAAAGCACTCCTCAGCCCTTGCATAAAGAGCCCGCCCCCAAGGGTCCCTCAGCCACTTCTCCCCAACCCATGTGGAACAGGTGCCGCAGGTACCTTGGCCAATTCCAGCTCTGACCCCTCCGTCACCTTCTGTGCAGACACCACACATTCTGGAGAAGAAGGAAATTTTCTATTTTCTGCAACGAAAGCAAGGTAGAAAAAAGGGTGACCTTCCTGGGAACTACACCTGACCTTCCCAGAGTATCTAAACCTGCAAAGCAGAATCCCAGCCAGGAAAGGACTATGAGACTAGGCTCCTTCTTGAGTCCTCTGCCTGCCTTACAACTTCCATCTGCAGGCAAACCACAGGCCCCAGGGCCAGGGCAAAAAGGCAGGCAAGGGACTCAAGATTAGGACAAGCCTACCTGCTCACTTCCCAGCACCTTAGTACCACAGAGGGAGCCAAGGTCCAGGTCACTCTAAAGTCCTGTCTCAACTAAGGTGACACAAGAAGCCCACATGTGAATCAGGATAGAGCAACTGAAGACCCCGGCTCCCTTGCTGCCAGACAGTCCAGCCTTAGTTACTAACTTCTTGCTGCTTCATCTCCAGAGCTTCTCACCTTCTCTACAATTCTCTTGAGGAAGAGGAGGAGCAGAAAGCTCCCCACATCAAAGATAGCTCTATAGTCTAGGTCTGAATCAGGGCTAAGTGGAGCTCACAAGTACTCTGCTAGCAGCTTCGTCTTTAATCCTCTCATCTACCTGAAATGTGATTATCTGCATCTATACCACAGACAGGAAACCTATGTCCAGGAAGGTGCAACGCAGTGAGCAAGTCAAGGTCTCCGCCTCTGAGCCTGTACTCACCCCTGAACACTTATCTGGGAAGCCAGAAAACCCTTTTCTGGCCAAGGTAAATAAAGTAATAAGGATTTCTTGTCTCTTACTTCTCAAAGTAGGGGGAACAGAAGACCAATGTGCTGAGCGCTGGGAAGGTTGATGGGAGATAGGCTGGATCTCTGGAACTTAAAGGCCACACTTGCATCCCAAGGCCCAGGAGTCTGACCTGGCTGTATTCAGCTCAGTTATCATCCTTGACTAGATTCTCTGGGGTCTCAAATTCCAGGAGCCAGAGCTGCCTGGCTAGAGAAAAAAAGCACTTACTCTGCAGAAAACTGCACACGAAGTCCAGTCTCTCTGGCACTGGCTGTTGCAGGATTTGCTGGCCCTCTTCAGTGCCATGGCTAGAAAAAAAACAAGTATTAGAGATGGAAGCTAGTGGCTCATGCCTGTAATCCTAGCTACTTAGGAGGCTAAGATCTGAGAATCACAGTTCAAAGCCAGCCAGGGCAAAAAAGTCTGTGAGACTCATCTCCCATTAACTACTAGAAAACCAGAAGTGGAACTGTGGCTCAAAGTGGTAGAGCCACTAGCCTTGAGCAAAAGGGCTCAGGGACAGTGCCCAGGCATTGAGTTCAAACCCCACAACAGACAAAGGACCACAGTACTTAGTGACCTCTGCCTGCTTTCTTACCGCTACCTCCCTTCCCTGCACACGTGTTCTATTCTATATTGGGTGTGAAGCCATAAAGAAGATGCAAGAATACCACTTCAGATGGAATGTTGAGTGAGAAGTGGGGACTTGGGGCATGGGGGTCTTTCTCGCAAAGAGGATATACCCTGTCATCAAATTTGCAACTATGAAAAAGCTCTGCAGGAAAGGAAGATGAAGGCAGCACCAACTAGATTAAACAGCTCTGAATGACTCAGCTCTAAAACATCAGGTGGCTGGGAAACATAGCTACCACGAGTGAGAGAAGCCCATGGGAAGGAAGGGACGAGGTTCTGCAGCAGCGACAGAGCAAAGGCTTCACGCTGGGAGGAAAGCGGAGATGGCTGAAGGCTCCTGAGGGCTGGGTTAAGGGTTAACATCAATCTTTTTTCCTGTTTTTTGTTTATTTGTGTTTTGAGACATAATCTCATTATGTAACTCCAGCTTGTCTCAAAACTCAAACTCCTCTGTCTCCATCTCCTGAATACTGAGATTACAGGTGGGAATCACCATGCTCAGTGACCCTTCTTTCTGAAGGGCACTTACTCCCTTGATCCTCATTTAACTGCAAAGGCGAAACATGGAGAGAGCAGAGGGTGGGAGGAGGAACCTCAAATAGCCAGGCTGTGGCCACTGGGTACACAGTGTAACTGCACTCCGTCTGAAGAGGACTATTGCTTTACTTTCCCAGCTGAACTGGAGATGCTGATTTTTTAAAAGGACTGTGGGAGGTCTCTGGAGGGAAGGACAGGCCCCTGATCACCACAGTTCCAGATATTTATAAGGAACATGCCATATCCAAGCCAAGACCATGAGCTACTGCCGTCCTAATCTTCCAAGGGACTGCAAAGGATCTTCTAAGTGGAGCTCTGCAAGAGGCATTCTGGACAGCAGACCTTGGCTTAGGGGCTCCTAGTTTTGCAGAGTGCGAATGTCTGCACTGACTCCTAAATGAGCCATCTTCCCCACCCACACATAACTGGGAATGTCAGCTTGCTTCTGGGAAGAGTGGTATTTGCCTAAGTGTATTCCACTAAATAAAACAAAACATGTAACTGATGTTTGAAAAAAAAATTGAGTTAAACCAAACTGAACGCTTTTTTTTTTCCTTTATTAGTTTTCTGTCTGTTGTTTCTTGAGATGTAGGGGGAGGAAAAAATAGGTATCTTGCTATGTTGTCCTTGCTGGCCTTAACTCCTAGACTCAAGTGATCTTTCAGTGTCCTGCGTAGATGACCTACTAAACGGCTTGAATATTTTCTAAAGAAGCGGATATAAAGCCAGGTACCATCACACTTGTACTACTAGCTACTCAGAAGGCTGAAATCTGGAGGATTTGGGTTCAAAGCCAGCCTGGGCAAAAAGTCCCTGTGACTCTATCTACAATAAACTAGTAAAATGCCAGATGAGAGGTATGGCTTAAGTGGTAGAATGCCAGCCATGATCAAGACAGATGAAAGCATGAGGCCTCGAATTTAAACCCTGGCACCAGTGCCTTTACAAAGGAAGGTAGTAAGCCCAGGAACAGCTATCACGCCATGCTCTAATGGTGGTGAGAACGTCTGAGCTGACTGGCAGCTAAAGGCTGTTTTTCACTGTGAACAGCAGAGGTCACTGTCGTAAAACAAACGTCAGAGCTTTAGGTTTGCTAGTGAAATGCCCTCCGCCAGCTTTGCTACAAGGCTCACAGCCATCAGACAAGGCAACCAGCCTCTTTGCTTTAGGCTGCTCATTCCCAGAAGAACAAGAAAAACTGTTAGGAGTTGATGATAATGCATTTCCCACAAAGACCAAGTGGCCAAGGAACCCAGTCCTGTTCAATTCCCACAGCTTCTCCCTGCTCGCTAACCTTGCCAGCCTTCACTGTATTCCTCTGAATGAGACTTCTGATTTAGGTTAGCAGTAGAAGCAGTATCAAAAATGCAATAGCCAGGGCTGGGAAGGTGGCTCAGTGGTAGAGCGCTTGCCTTGCATGCATGAGGCCCTGGGTTCGATTCCTCAGCACCACATAAGCAAAAAGAAAAAAGCCAGAAGTGGCACTGTGGCTCAAGTGGTAGAGCACTAGCCTTGAGCTGAAGAGCTGAGGGACAGCGCCCAGGCCCAGAGTTCAGGCCCCACGACCGGATCAAAAAAAAAAAAAAAAATGCAATAGCCAGAACAGCTTAACCTGTTCTCCCCCAAAGGCAGTTGGTCTGCACTACCCTGCATTACTGGAAAGAAGCTGAGCGAGGCTGGGATTTCAACAGCCCATTCCCCACAGCCCCCAGTCTAACACTCAGGTACATTTCTGGAAACAACTTGGAGCTGGTACCTTCATTTCCCTATGAAATTCTTTTCCAGGTTATAAACCAACAGTGGCTAGACCAAGGACACACACATATCCTCACTCCTGGGCACATCTGCTGACCTGTCATCAGGCCAGGGAAATTAATATCTTCAAAACAAAAGTTATTCAATCTACCCTGAAGTCAGAAAAACATATTGCTACATTACATTTGAGGGCCTACTGTACCTGGCTGTCTCTTTTTACGGATATTATAATTGAACAGTGGGCTAGATATTGCCAGCCTAGTGCATTGACCAACAATTGATAATGAGTAACTCAACTACCACTTCAGTGAGATTTAAAAAATAATTATTTAGCTGGGTGCCAGCGGCTCACACCTATAATCCTAACTACTCAGGAGGCTGAGATCTGGGGATCACAGTTCAAAGCCAGCCCGGGCAGGAACATCCATGAGACTCTTATCTCCAATTAACCATCAGAAAACCAGAAGTGGTGCTGTGGCTCAAGTGGTAGAGTGCTAGCCTTGAGCTGAAGAGCTGAGGGACAACGCCCAGGCCCAGAGTTCAAGTCCCATGAGTGACAAAAAACAAAACAAAACAAAACACAGAAACATTTACGTTAGGAGTTACAAATGACTGCTTTATAGGTGGTTTATAACTCCACCTCGGCAGCATCTCATGGGGCGCACAGCTCAAGCAGTAGAGAGCCTACATAGCCTACACAGGTCAAACCTTAGCACTGCCCCCCTCAACAGAAAAAAAAGAACTGTAAATTAAGCAAATTTACACCAATCCATTTACAAGTATCAAGGGGAAAGGGCAAAAGCCAAGCATAACCATGATGATGTAATTAACAAACGCCATGCTTCAGGAATTTCCACTCCATCAACATAAAGCAGGACTCAAACCTGGCAAGAGGCGGGGTGTCAGTGGCTCATGCCTATAACCCAGGCTACTCAGCCAGCTGAGATCTGAAGATCCAGGTTTGAAGCCAGTCCAAACAGGAAAGTTCCTAATATTTTTATCTCCAATTAATCATCAAAAAGTCAGAAGTGGAGCTATGGCTCAAGTGACAGAGCATTAGCCTTCAACAAAAAAAAAGCTCAGGGACAGAGCCCAGGGCCTGAGTTCAAACCCTAGGACCGACACCAAAAAAACAAAAACTGTTGAGAGAGGAAATGAGCCCCTGATGGAAGCTGTTTTGGAGTTTAAAGGGTTATTTTGGAGATAGGCTCTCACTATGTTACCCAATCTGGCCTTTAAATCCAGGTCCCAAGCAATTCGCCCACCTACCAGCAGCTGACATGCTTGATAAATGATGTCTAAACACCAGGCTAAAAATCTGGGGGACATTTTGGTGGCGCTAAAGATCAAACCCAGAGCCTTGTACACACTAAGCAAGACCTCTTCCACTGAGCATATCTTCAGTCTCCAAGCTGAAGATCTTAGATTTTAATCTATTAACAATGAAGAATCACTCAATTGTGAGGATGAAGTGAGGATTTGAGAAAGTCCTGATTTCAAGCCCCAGGACTGGCAAAAAAAAAAATCCTATAGGAAATCCCATTACCACAACACACTTCCAAAGGGGAAACAAAAACAAAAACACCCTAATGGGTTTGTCTGCTCCTCAGCCTCACTAGATTTTGCCACTGGAGAATACTAATTACCCCTCATTCCTACATCTATTTACCCAGACACTGATTAAAACCCAATCAATGAAGGTAGGCAGGGCACATGCCTATAAGCCAGCACTTGTGAGGTAGAAACTGGGGGACCCAGAGTTTCAGGCCAGTCTGGGTCTGTATGATAAAACTCTGTTTTAAAAAAGAAAGACAAGAGGCTGGGAAGGTAACTTAGCGGTAGAATGCTTGCCTTGCATGCATGACGCCCTGGGTTCGATTCTTCAGCACCATATAAGCAGAAAAAGCCAGAAGTGGCACTGTGGCTCAAGTGGTAGAGTGCTAGCCTTCAGCTGAGGGACAGCGCCAGGCCCAGAGTTCAGGCCCCGCGACAGGCAAAACAAAAGAAAAAAAAGGAAAAGAAAGACAAGCTGGGTGCTAGTGACTCATGCCTATAATCCTAGCTACACAGGAGACTAAGGTTTGAGGATCACCCTTCAAAGGCAGGAATGTCTGGGAGACTCTTTTTGTTTTGTTTTGTTTTGGGTTGGTCGTGGGACTTGAACTCTGGGCTTGGGCACTGTCCCTGTGCTCTTCAGCTCAAGGCTAGTGCTCTACCGCTTGAGCCACAGAGCCACTTCTGGTTTTCTAGTGGTTTACTGGAGATAAGAGTCTCACAGACGCCGGGCGCTGGTGGCTCACGCCTGTAATCCTAGCTACTCAGGAGGCTGAGATCTGAGGATCGCGGTTCAAAGCCAGCCCGGGCAGGAGAGACCGTGAGACTCCTATCTCCAATAAACCACCAGAAAACCGGAAGTGGCGCTGTAGCTCAAGTGGTAGAGCGCTCGCCTTGAGCTGAAGAGCTGAGGGACAGCGCCCAGGCCCAGAGTTCAAGCCCCACGACCGACAAAAAAAAAAAAAAAGAGTCTCACAGACTTTCCTGCCTAGGCTGACTTTGAACTGTGATCCTCAGATCTCAACCTCCTGAGAAGCTAGGATTATAGGCGTGAGCCACTGGCACCGGGCTCTGAGAGACTCTCATCTCCAATTAGCCAGTAGAAAACTGAAGTGGTACAGTAGCTCAAAGTGGTAGAGGACTAGCCTTGAGCAAAAGAGCTTAGGGACAGGCCCCGTATTCAAGTCCTATGACTTACCAAAAAAAAAAATACAAAACAAAACACAATAGCATAGGAAGGGGACTATCTATACTGTGTTATTTCTCCCTCAAATGTAAGGGCTTCTTTCTTACTGCAGGACCTCAAGGTTGCAAATGGGGCCTGTGAAGAGAACTTGGGGCTGAGTCAAGACAAGAGGGCTACAGAAGACTCCCGCTGAGATAAGAGAATGGGGAGCTCTTGAAACTGTGCAACAGGGGCCTTGCAGCCCCTTCTATGCAAGAATGGGGAAGACTTCAGATGGGGCCCACCTGAAAGGACAAGGTTGAAGTGCTGGCCTTTGGGCTCACCCAGGCTCCTAACACTCTACCACCACGGCAGACAGCTTCCCCTGAGGGGCGGGCAGTTTGCATACTCACATGCTGTTAATGATCTTGATAAAGACGCTGCAGTCTTGGAGCTGCTGCAAGGCCTCCACAGGATCAGCCACACGCAGACTGTTCACCTGCGAGTCAAACACAAGAGCCTGTGAGAACATGAGAAATGCCAAAATGCGTGGTTTGCTCCCACAGCTGCAAAGGGCGAAGGGAAGACATGATTTCAGAATTTCTTTTCTCTCTCTTTTTTTTTTTTTTTGCCACTCCTGGGGCTTGAACTGAGCACCTGGGCACTGTCCCTGAGCTCCTTCTGCTCAAGGCTAGCGCTCTACCACTTGAGCCACAGCACCACTTCCAAGTTTTTCTGTTTATGTGGTACTGAGGAATTGAACCCAGGGCTTCAAGCATGCAACAAGCACTCAACCACTAAGCCACATTCCCAGCCTGATTTCAGGATTTCTGTTTGGTTGGTTTTTGGGGTCTGGCCCAGGCTGGCTTCAAATTCAAACCTCACCTCCCTCAATTCCCAACTGCTAGAATAACAAGAATACACAACCACACTGCATATCTAAGAGTGTTAATATTAGCAAAGGAACACTGCTCCACCTCCCATCCAGTGAGTGATCCCAGTCACAGCCCCGCAAAGCGCCAAAGAGGCCTGAGGCTTGGACCTATAAGAGACCAAGATGTGCCAGCACAAGGGCATGCTTACATAATACAATCAGGCATAAAATGATTCTGGAAGAATCTTGATTTCCCATTGGTACCACCTTGCCTATAGGGAGAGAAACTTGATGGCAGAGAACTTCAAAGGGGAAAAAGAGACTTTATATCAGAGTCCTTGGATCTCAATAGTTACATTGTAACTATGTATATTCCTTGTTCTCTGTGTATACCAGTACCCAGGCTTGAACTTGGGGTGTGAAACTTAAGCCATGTCTCCATTTCAACTGTTTTGCTGGAGTCTTTGCTGGAGTCTTTGATGGAGAGATGGAGTCTGGCAGATTTTTCTACCTTAGTTGGCTTCAAACCTCAATCCACAGATCTCAGCATGCAAAATAGCTAGGATTACACAAATGAGCCACTAGCACCCAGCCTCTCTTGAATTTTTACCTGGTAGCCTTTTGTACTTTTAAATCATATCTATTCAAAACTTCAATTTTTTTAATGTGGGCTGTGAATGTGGCTTAGTGGTAGAGTGCTTGCCCAGCATGCATGAAGCCCTGGGTTCAATTCCTTAGTACCACATACACAGAAAAGGCTGGAAGTGGCACTGCGGCTCGAGTGGTAGAGCACTAGCCTTGACCACAGAGAGGTTCAGGACAATGGCCCAGGCCCTGAGTACAAGCTCCAGGACTGGCAGGGGGAAAAGAATTGTTATATACCCCCATGTAGATATAAAATTTTGCATTTTAAAAATTCTTTCCAGACATAAAACATTGACAGGAGAAGGAAAAAAACAACAGGAGAATAAGATGAATTTTCTTTTAAATAAAAAAAGGAGGGAGGGACTGGGATGTAGCTCAGTGGCAAAGCGCTTGCCTTAGCAAGTGCAATGTCCTGGGTTTGATCCCCAGTACCAAAAAAAAAAAAAGAGGAAGCTGGACTCCAGTGTCTTACACCTATAATCCTAGCTACTCGGGAGGCTGAGTTCTGTTAAAGCCAGCTGGGAAGGAAAGTCCCCATGAGACCCTTATCTCCAGTTAACCACCAGAAAACTCCAAGTGGTGTTGTGGCTCAAAGTGGTAGAGTGCTAATCTTGAGCAAAAGAGCTAAGGGACAGTGCCTGGCCCCGAGTTCAAGGCCTACCACCTACAGAAAAAAAAAATGGAGGAAGAAGGAAAAGAAAAGAGAAGCTGCATACAAACTTCCCAATTGATTCAACTGTCTTTGGCTTCAAATAACCATCTAAGTCAGTCTTTACCACTAGAAACAAGGTTAAATAACTTCAGCAAGGGCTTCTATTTTGGCTCTATTTAAAGAACCTTGAGCAAGAGCTCAAAACACTGAGGATCATTTGAACCCTGGTTTTAGGAGGTCAGACTAGGGCTAGGTATATAGTTCACATCTGTAATCTTAGACACTTAGGAGGCAGAAATAGAAGGATCACCGTTCAAGGCCTGTCTAAATTGAACAAATCGAGAGAGAGAGAGAGAGAGAAAGAGACAGACAGAGACAGACAGAGAGTCAGACAGAGGGAGGGGAAGGAGGGGAGAGAGAGAGAGAGAACACAAGCGAGAGAGCACATGTTAGTCCTGAGCCTTGAACTAGGCCTGAACACTAAGCTTTTATGCTCAAGGCTTGTGCTCTACCACTTGAACAGTAGCTCCACTTCTGGCTTTTTGTTGTTTAATTGGAGATTAAGTCTCAAAGGTTTTTCTGTCTGGACTGGCTTTGAACTACAATCCTTAGATCTCAACCATCTAAGTAGCTATGGTTACAGGCATGAGCCACTGACACCCTGCTTATATACAGTGTACTTTTAGTATTTTAATACATTTTTACTATGACTTTTGAGGAAAGCACATAAGTAGTTGCTGCAAAATAAAATTAGTATTATGTTTATGATCTATAATGGTAGGTAGTCACTGTACGGCAAGCCTAGAACCTAAACAGATAAATAAGCCAGTCAACAAAGGAGCTCCTAATATTCATAGTTACCTCTAACTCAACTACAGACATAGCTCAGGGTCCCCCATAACTAATGAGCCTCTTTTAGGGAGAGAGAAGAATAAAGAGGGAACATTTCTAAAATAAATACAAAACACTGATGTGAAATATAAATATAAAATATCCAATTGAAATTATGCAACTGAAAACTGGTTACATTTCAGAATCTGAAGACTTTGAATACACACTGTACATTAAATTAATTTCCTTTCTGGAGATGTGATATGTTTAAAGGTAACCTGTCATTAAATCCACCTTACTTGGAAATTAAAATTTTATTTCTTCTAAAACATTCTAATTTAGTTCTGGGCACTAGTAGCTACTCAGGAGGCTAAAAACTGAGAATTAAGGTTAGAAACCAGCCAAGAAAGAAAAATCCATTCTTTTTTTTTTTTTGTCAGTGGTGGGAATTGAACTCTGGGCCTGGGCACTTCAGCTCTTCAGCTCAAGGCAAAAGCTCTACCACTTGAACCACAGCGTCACTTCCAGTTTTCTGGTGATTAACTGGAGATGAGTCTCACAGACTTTCCTGCCTGGGCTGGCTTTGAACTGTGATCCTCAGATCTCAGCCTCCTGAGTAGCTAGGATTACAGGCCTGAGCCACTGGAGCCCAGCTCCATGACATTCTTATCTCTAATTTACCAATAAAAAAGCTGGAAGTAGGGGCTGGGAAGGTGGCTCAGTGGTAGAGCGTTTGCCTTGCATGCCTGAGGCCCTGGGTTCGATTCCCCAGCACCACATAAGCAAAAAGAAAAAAGCCGGAAGTGGAGCTATGGCTCAAGTGGTAGAGCACTAGCCTTGAGCTGAAGAGCTGAGGGACAGCGCCCAGGCCCCACGACCGGACACACACACAAAAAAAGTACAGTATATCTATGAAATTATTACAATGAAACCCACTTAAATTATTAAATTTTGCTAATAAAAAAATAGTAATAAACAGTGGGTGCTAATGACCTGTAAACCTAGCTACTCAGGAGGCTGAGATCTGAGGACTGTGGTTGGAAGCCAGCCCAGAGAAGCAAAGTCCCTAAGACTCTTATCTCCAAATAACTATCACAAACACAGAAGTAGAATTGTGGCTCAAGTAGCAGACCACTAGCCTTGAGTACAAAATCTCAAGAACAGCATCCAGGGATAATCATGGTGATGATGATTATTATGCAGTGAGATATGCCTATAATCCAAGCTACTTGGAGATAAGGAGGCCTAAGGTTTGAAGTTCCAGGTCAGTCTGAGCAAAAGCTAAAAAGACCCCCATTCTCAACAAAGAAGGGTGAGGAGGTGTGCATCTGTCATCCCAGCTACACAGGAGGCATAAGGAGGATTGAAGGCCTGGGCAAAATGTAAGACTTGGGCTGGGAATGTGGCTCAGTGGTAGAGTGCTTGCCTAGCATGCATGAAGTCCTGGGTTCGATTCCTCAGTACCACATAAACAGAAAAATCCAGAAATGGCGCTGTGGCTCAAGTGGTAAAGTACTATACTTGAGCTGAACAGCTCAGGGACAGCGCCCAGGCCCAGAGAGGTCAAGCCCCATGACCGACCAAAAAAATAAAAAATAAAAAATAAAAAAAAAAACCACAAATCTATAACAACTAAAAAAAAAATCCAGGGAATGGAAACAAGATTTTGTTTCCTTTGTTTTTGTTTTCATCTTATTTGTTCATTTACCTGTCTTTAGGAGGGTAGGGGGGAACACAGAAATGGAGGGACAAAAGTGAACAAATGTGGCAGTGGTACTCAATAGACATATGTTGAAAATGAATTATACAACTTGTGGGTGAGCACAAGAGGGTGACACTATCCAAAAAGAAATGTACTCATTACCTGACTGATGTAACTGTAACCTCTCTGTACATTACCTTTATAATAACAATAAAAAATATAAATTAAAAAAAGTTGTCAATCACTAGCACTGGAAAAAAACAAAACAAAACAAAACAAAAAGTTGACCTGATTATTCAGTACTCAGGTTAACTATTAGAATACTCTGTGCACAATGAACTCTTCCCCATTTGTATACCTGTAACTAGTGCATACTAATTAAAAATTGTAAAAAAAAAAAAAAAAAGAATACTCTGTGCAAACTGGCATGCCCGTGTAATATTCTAAGTATCAGGCATTATTATGCATTCTAATGGTGTGTTAAATGGTTTTGTGTGTTTATATGCTTACGTGTGTGCATTTGTGCACCATACTGAATGTTTTTCACATTCATTATCTCATTAGCCTCATAATAACCCCCTGAGGCATCACTAGAGCCATTACAAATGGGATGCTGAGCGGCTAACTTGCCCTGGGTCACAGAGGGGCCAGAGTTTTGACTCTAAGAGCCACGTCTGTCACCATACACCATGGCCACTTCTTGTAGCTTTAAAATGCTTTAAAGCTTGTAGCTTTAAAATGCTTGATGTTCAGCAATATATTCTCATTTGCCATGGTCTCCAAAGGAAAAAAAAAAAATATATATATATATATATATATATATAAAAACTTTCTAAAGGATTTTGTTGCCCTGATCAAGAAGGTAATGGGACCTTAGTGTGGCAAGATTTAAGTAAAACAATTAACAAAGAAAAAGCTACAGTCTTTTTGTGATGGTAGTTTTCTAAATGGAGAGGCACTTGGCTGCATTCTCACAGACATATTTTCCTTTCACATGAACACCTGCTGTTTTGCAATATTCAAAAAAGAGACATTTTATTCTCTTGTGCCTGGATATGGTAGCCTTTGGGGGAGTATCAGTCATAGTGCTTGAACTCTAGGTCTGGGCACTGTCCCTGAGTTCTTCAGCTCAAGGTGAGCATTCTATCACTTGAGCCACAGCACTACACCTGGCTTTTTTTGAGTAGTTTATTGGAAATATGAGTCTCATGGACATTCCTGCCAAGGCTGGCTTTAAAAGTAATTCTCAGATCTCAGCTTCTTGAGTAGGTAGGATTACAGGCGTGAGCCACCAGTGCCTGGCTTAGGTAGCTTAATTTATTTATTTTGCCAGTTCTGGGGCTTGAACAATGGGCTTGGACGCTGTCCCTACACTCTTCAGCTCAAGGCGAATGCTTTATCGCTTGAGCCACAGCACCACTTCCAGTTTTCTAGTGGTTTTTATTGGAGATAAGAGTCTCACAAACTCTCCTGCCCAGGCTGGCTTTGAACTGTGATCCTCAGATCTCAGCCTCCTGAGTAGCTAGGATTACAGGCATGAGCCACCGGTGCTGCTTCCCTGAGCTTCTTTGGCTCAAGGCTAGGATTCTATCACTTGAGCCACAAAACTACTTCTGACCTTTTCTTTTTATGTGGTACTGAGGAATCGAAGCCCAGCCCCCTTATTTTATTTTTTAATGCCAGTATTGGGGCTTGAATTCAGGTCCTGGTAACTGTCCCTTAGCTATTGTGAACAAGGCTAGACCTCTACCACTTAAGCCACAGCTCTACTTCCAGCTTTTTGGTAGCTTATTAGAGATAAGTCTCATGTACTTTCCTGCCCAGACTGGCTTCAAACCACAATACCTAGATCTCAGCCTCCTGAGTAGCAGTATCATAGGCCACTTTATTCTTTTAAGACGTATCCTAGGTACTCATCAGTGTAACTAATAGATGGTGATTTGTAACTAGTAGGGTAAACAAATGCAGTCATAGTATTCAGTATACTCTAAGTGGAAAATGAATTATGTAACCTGTTGGTAGGAATGGGAGAGGGAAATTGGGGTAAAGTGAAGGAAGGGATGACACTGTCCAAAAAAGAAATGTGCTCATTACCTGACTTATGAAATGGTAATCCTCTGTACAATATCACCTAAATAATATTATACTTAAAAAAATAAAATAGCTGGGAAGGTGGCTCAGTGGTAGAGCGCTTGCCTTGCATGCATGAGGCCCTGGGTTCGATTCCTCAGCACCACATAAGCAAAAAGAAAAAAGCCAGAAGTGGCGCTGTGGCTCAAGTGGTAGAGCGCTAGCCCTGAGCTGAAGAGCTGAGGGACAGTGCCCAGGCCCAGAGTTCAGGCCCCATGACCGGACCCCCCAAAAAAATAATAATAATAATAATAATAAAAGAGAAAAGAAAACTAATTACTATGCCTGTCAGTTTGTATATCACTCTCAATTTCACATGAAGTGACAGAAGACAATCTTAGTTTTCCTGTGAAGGATCTTGAATTATTCTCAGTTTTCCTGTGGAATATGTTGGATTATTCTGTTAGTGAAGATACATTCAAAACACATGTTAGAAGATTACATATCATTTTAAGTTAACATGCATGCTAGCCGGGCGCCTATGGCTCACGCCTATAATCCTAGCTACTCAGGAGGCTGAGATCTGAGGATCTGACCAGCCAGCCTGGTCAGAAAAGTCCATCAGACTCTATCTCCAATAAATCACTAGACAACCGGAAGTGGCGCTGTGGCTCAAGCGGTAGAGTGCTCACCTTGAGCTGAAGAGCGCAGAGACAGCGTCCAAGCCCAGAGTTCAAGCCCCACAGGGACCAAAAAAAAAAAAAGAAGTGAGAGCCTTGTCCTGAGACTAAAGGTTTTTTTAGTCCAAAGTCCTTGCCAACAATCACTGTGTACTGGGATGTGTACAAAGAACAGATGAAGATGGGGTTCCATGTCATCTTCTGGCCACATTGCCTTTGATCCAAAGGATACACCTCAGAGCAGCTCCTACTGAGCTTACCAGTAGAGGCATGGACCACCGTCAAGCAGCAAATAAGGAAAGTTCAAAACTAAAGGGAAGCTGGACGCCGGTGGCTCACACTTGTAATCCTATCTACTCAGGAAGCTGAGATCTGAGGATCATGGTTCAAAGCCAGCTTGGGCAGGAAAGTCCGTGAGACTTTAATCTCAAATAAACACTCAGAAAACTGGAAGTGACTCTATGGCTCAAGTGGTAGAACACTAGCCTTGAGATGAAGAGCTGAGGCAGCACTCAGGCCCAGAGTTCAAGCTCCAGGACCAACCAACACACACACACACACACACACACACACACACACACACACACACGCGCGCGCGCGCGCGCGCGCACACACGCACACACACACGCACACACACACGCACGCACACGCACACAGACAGAAAAGGAAAAGAATACCATACTTGATCTGGAAGCTAGCACCTAGAACACACCTCTGCAGCCCCTCTGCAGCTTCCGAGAGGAGCACAGCAGACAGAAGAGCTAGACTACTCACCCAAGACAAGAGTGCAGCTGCCCGGGTGGCGTGGAGCGTCATCTTGGTGATCCCAGTCAGTCACCCCAACGTACCTGGAACCCAAGACAGGAAGAACAGGTAATTGTATAAGAGATCCACAATCAAGTAGGTGAGGAGAAACAGTTCCACAACTAGCTCTGAACAGCAACAAATCCCTCTGGGATCAGCACTCAATCCATTGAGGCACCATGGGAATTCTGACACAGCTCAGAGGACACATGTCAATTAATATAAAGCTTATCATGTCAGGACTGACACTTAGTTCAGTTTTTACAAATGTCCCTCACAATCTTTCAGGCTCAAGGAGAGCACAACATTCAAAGCTGGTCCTTAACTGTTCTTTGGGACATGGAACCCTTAAATATGGAATAAATTTTTTGGGGGGGTAGGTCATAGGGCTTGAACTCTGGGCCTGGGCACTGTCCCTCAGCTCTTCGGCTCAAGGCGAGCGCTCTAGCTACCACTTGAGCCAAAGTGCCACTTCTGGTTTTCTGGTGTTTAATTGGACTTTTCCTGCCCAGGCTGGTTTTGAACTGTGAGTCTCAGATCTCAGCCTCCTGGGTAGCTAGGATTATAGGTGTGAGCCACCAGTGCCCAGCTAACTTTAAAAAAAAAAAAATAGATCTAGGTCTGATACTGCTATTATGTGATCATGGGACCATGGTCATATAACTTTGGACAATTAATAGAACCTTGTTTAATCCATTTCTTCATCTACTAAATGGAACATAAATATTCTCTAGCATATATCTATATATAGAGAATATAATATACTATATAAACAGTGTTTGAGATATAGTAAGTAGTCAATAAATATCACTGTTCTTAAATAGAAAAATTGAAAAGTATTTTCTGCACTCAGATTCTACCTACATTACCATGCCTTTGAGGACATGGCTCCAAGTTCTAGATTTCTTTCTTTATACTTTCCATAGTATTAAAAACAGACATGGGGCTGGGCACTGGTACCTCATGCCTTCAATTCTAGCTACTTAGAAGTCTGAGATCTAAGGACTGCCCTCAAAGCTAGCCAGGCAGGAAAGTATTTGAGACTCATCTCCAATTAAGTACCAAAAAGATGGAATTAGAGCAGTGGCTCAAATGGTAGAGTGCTAACCTTGAGCAAAACAGATCAGAGACAGCTCCCAGGCCCTGAATTCAAGCCACTGCACTGACATGCAGAGAGAGACAGACAGAAACAGAGACAGAGACAAGAGAAACAGACACAGGACAATGCTGTACTGAGCATATCTGAATCAGGGTCTTCAGAGGAAGCCAAGGCTAATTATGGAGATCCCAGGGGATATTTAATGAAAGATTAGACACTTGTCCTGGTATTTACTTCCAATTTTCTTTGCCATTGGGAATCAGCCATCTGCCTGCCAAGGTGCCCCCAGGATCTCAAACTTGATGAGTAATAATCCCCAATACTTCCTGAGAGTCCTTATGACTGCCACAAATCTCCACAGGCTCATTAGCCAAGCCCACCCCCAACCTTCTGCCACAGGTGCCACTACTCCAAGAGGAACAAGAGTGGCAAGAGCTACTTCATCTACAAATCTCCTCATACATTAGCATCTCCAACATTTGCTCAGCGCTTTTCTGTAAGAAAGGTGTAGGAACATGGCTTTCCACCACTCTTGACTGTAAGAGGCTGTCAGAAACATAAATCTAATTATTCATTCTTTATCATGTCTAGGTACCTCCTACCCAAGTGTAGTCTGTAACCAACTAAAAGGTTATTTTCTTACCCCTATATATGCTCTTCCTGGCCTGGAAGCTATATGAGAAATAGGAGAGAAGGACATTGCCTTTGAGGGGCTTATGACATGGTAAGGTGTAAAATTAAATATACGTGAATTGTTAGAAGAAAATAATTAAATGCTAACTATAGCTAAAGACTAATTATAATTAAGTGCTTCCTGACCCTGAAAAAAACCAACATGATTCCACCTGTCATACCTTCGTCATAGTCTTGGAAAAGAGCCAGTACACCTGGGGTTTGGTGGGGGAAGGGAAATGGGTAAGAGAGCTCTCAGGAGATCAGAGAAGTGAAGGAGCCCAAAGGTTTCTTGTTATTGGATGATTTTCCCCAAGTATGGTGATCTGTAAGTACTGCCTGCCTTATCCCTGGGGCTTTGACCTCACTCAGTGCACTGAAATAAGGTTTTCCTGGTGTTGCACAAGAAGGACCATGCTCAACCCACAAGATTAAGGTAGCAATTGCTAACTGCTTAAGTAGGCTTTTTTTTTTTTTTTTGGTTGGTTGGTTGTAGGGCTTGAACTCAGGGCTTCGGCGCTGTTTCTAAGCTTTTTCACTCAAGGCTAGTGCTCTACCACTTTGAGCCATAGGGCCACTTTGAGTTTTCTGTGGCTAATTGGAAATAAGTGTCTTGCTAACTTTCTTGCTTAGCTGGCTTTGAACCGTGATCCTCGGATCTCAGCTCCTGGACAGCTAGGATTACAGGTGTGAGCCACCAATGCATGGCAAGGTTTTCTTTTCTTCTTTGCCAGTTGTGGGGGCTTGAACTCTGGGCCTGAGCACTGTCCCTGAGCTTTTGTGTTCAAGGCTAGCATTCTATCACTTGAGCTATAACTCTACTTCTGGCTTTTTTTGGTTTTTTGGTAGTTTAGTGGTGATCAGAGTCTCACATAGATGACACTACATGAAAGGAAATATACTCATTACCTGACTCATGTAATTGTAATCCCTCTGTATACCACCTCTATAATAATAAAGTAAGCTAATAATAAATAAACAAAGGGTCTCACAAGCTGGGTACCAGTGGCTCATGCCTGGCCTCTAATACTAGCTACTCAAGAAGCTGCTGAGGATCGTGGTTCAAAGCCAGCCTGGGCAGAAAAATCCATGAGAATCTTATCTCCAATTAACCTCTCAAAAACCAGAAGTGGTGCTGTGGCTCAAAATGGTAGAGCCTTAAGCAAAAGAGCTAAGGGACAGCAACTAGGCCCTGAATTCAGGCCCCAAAACAGACAAAAAAAAAAGTCTCACAGACTCCTGCCCGGGCCAGCTTCAAACTCGATCCTCAGATCTCAGCCTCCTGAGTAGCTAAAATTATAGGCATGAGCCACTGGCATCTGGCTAGGCTTTCTTTTCTATTTTTTTCTCTCACTTCCTTTCCTTTCCTTTCTCTTATTTGCAGTATTGGAGGCTAAACTCAGGGCCGTTAGGTAGGTACTCTACCACTTGACCCATGCTCCCAGCCCTTTTTAGTTTTAGTTCTTGTTTTTGAAATACGGTCTCAGACTTTTTGCCCAGTGCTGGCCTTAAACTACAATCCTGTCCAACTCTACCCTGAGTAGCTCAGATTACAAAAGTGTACCACCATGCCTGGCTAGGGCTTCTTTTCAAAAATCTCTGTGCTATTCAGTAATAAGAAAAATGTGTCCTAGATACCTTCTCCCAGCCACACAACTACCATACAGACCAGTAGTTCCTCAAGGAGGCCCACTAGTTCAGTCAGAAATTCTATTTGCAACAGGAGACCAATTACAGATCTTACTCCAAGAGATTCCACAACTGTGTTGTGGCCTGAGACTTAACCAACTTCTTTGCTTTGTCTCAGAGGCCAAATGCACAAGCCTTATTAGGGCCCTTCTAGGAAAGCCTGTCTCCAACTAATTCTACCATTCAAAACCTTGTGTCAAGGCCAAATGCCTTTTACTTCGCTCCTCAGGAACATATAGGATGAAATCAATAGACGCTAGAAACTTCTGAAGGACCCTGTCATCAAAGTGCTAAGGGCACTCCCCCAGGATCCCACAGCGAGTGGCTTTAGCACACCACAGCCACTCACCAGTACTGACAGCTCCTCTCGGTGCCAGAAGTACCATGTGCTCAGCACTGCCACTATGGCTTTAAGCAGGCCCTGGCTTGGAACATCAGGGCGCTCAGCCAGAGCAGAGCTCGGTCCTCCCCACCCTCCCCCTGAAATCTGAGGCAGGCCCCACCCAGAAGACTGAGTGATGGTGATGGAAAAACAGATGCCTGCCATAGTAGCCTGGAAACATTTCACAGAAGGATCGGCTGAGATCCACCCCAACTCATCAAACTGGACAAAATTCCCAGAATGCAGGCCAGGCCCTGAGGGTACCTTTCAGAGTTCCCGCCCGGTTTTGAAAAAGAAATGTCCCCAGAATCTAAAACTGAGGCTTCCTAGAGGTGGCAAAGCACCCTCTCCTTTCTCCCAGGGGCAGCAGCCTTGTAAACTTATGGCCTTAAATCCTCTTTGACTCCTCAAGCAGATAATGCAACTCTCCACATCAGTACCAAACCTACATTGTATCTTGTTTCCACAGAAGGTATATGAGGACAAGGAAAGTGACACTCAAGAAACACAGCCTGCACCCCTTCTGGATCTTAAAGAGTTAAAGCCTGGCCATGGTTTCCTACCACAGCTAAAGCTAATGAAAACCACCTGCCCAGACACAAGGACCAGGACCAGAGGGTCAGGTTGCTCAGCTCTGGGGTCTGTTCTTGAAAAGCTGCAGTTTTGGGAGACTAAGTGATAGGCCAGAGGGTTTGAGTGGCAGCCACACTATTCTTTGTGCCCCACCCCCTAGCCTAGGTGCCAGCTCCCGTGAGACTCCTTTTAGCCACTTACTGCCTGCCTGAACACTACCTTTCCTCAAGATAAAACTAAAGTAACCTTTGGTCTAGAGTGCTGCTAAAGTGTCCTGGTCTCAGATTCGTGAGCCCCTGTGTCCAGTGAACCCCCTTTCTCTTAGTGCTTTACTCCCAGAATTTCAGGGCTGTTCCTGCTCCCACCTCAAGGGGTCCTTCCCCAGACCCCCATGTCCTTTCTACTCAATAGTTCCAAAGGCCCACAGACTCACTGCGATGAAAATGGCTGCCCTTGCTGTGTGTCCAACCTCAGCTCACCACCTCTGACCCGGAGAGCCAGCCTGCCAGGAACCATAAAAATTCTATGCTCTGCACCCCGTTCTAAGAGATACTCCCTGTTTTTAAGAGATACTTTCAATCTAAGCAACAAAGAATAAACATGGTGATCTTGAGGCTCCTCCTCTTATTGAGAGGGACAGATCAGGAGAAAGGAAAACAATCACCCAGACTTCACAGTAGCAGAGTATCCCAGGGGAGACCAGTGAAGGCCAAGCTACCTTGCTAAGTCACTGCAAAACCCAGCGAAGGCAGGGTGGCCAGTGGAACATTCCTGTAGTCCCAGCTAGTTGTAGGCTGAGGCAAGAAGACTGCTTGAGCTCAAGACCAGGCTGGGCCCCACTGAGCAAAACACAACTGGGAAGGGGGAGGGGGCGGACACACGGGACAGAGGGAGAACCCAGAAAAAATGTCTTAGTGGTGGATTCCGTGTGAGTGAAGATCAAAGGACCAGGGGCTCCATGAGAAGCCATGGAAGAATCCTTTTCATCCCCTGGGGAGTCTAGAGAGGGGGCTATGTGGTGGTCCAAATCCAAAGAGTTTCTCTGCACTCCTGAGATGTGAGGCACACCAGCTTGCTGGATGTGTTCTCTGGTTCCTGGGGACGAGCTTTGGGATCAGACCTTCCCTCTTCACACCCACCACCTTCTTTGTAGCCTAGAGTTTGGCCCAGAACTGCGGCCCTAGAAGAGGAGGGAGGGACCGCAGGGCAACCCGGCTTAACTGATAGCGGCCTGATTTCCCCCAGTGTTCTGCAGGGTCCAGATCGGGAAGACGTGAGCGTGAAGGTGGCCATCGAGAACCAGACGCGGGGCCCGCGGGCAGCTAGTGTCCGAGGGGCCGGGCGCGCACCGGGCTCCCCGAGGAGCCTGCTCCACGGCGCCGGTCCTCACCGACGCACTCACACCCGGGGCCCCGCCAGCTGTGTGCGTCGCCCGCCGCCGCCAAACCCAGGGCCACCCCAGGGAACAGAGCAGCTCTCTCCCCGACTCTCCGCGGCTCAAGTGCGGACGCACACGCTTCCTCCTCGGAACAAAAACACGCTGACATCCCCGCGAGGGAAAGAAAGCAGCGCTCGGCTCCGAGGGCGCCAACTCCCGGATGTTGGCGAGCCCGGCTCCCGGCGCCCGTTTCCGAGTGTTTACTTGCTCTCCTTCGTCTCTCCCTCCCCTTTTAGGATGGCGCAGAAAAGGAGGCGAGTGGGGGGGGGGGATCCACCCCACCCCCTCGTCCATGTTGGAACAAAAACCCCGAGGAAGGGGGGGGGGGGGAGAGGTCTCCGGGGAGGGGGAGGGGGACTTACCGGAGTCCTAAAGCCAACCGTACCTACGGGGTTTAATCCGCCATTAGCATTTAAATCTTGAAAGGACGGGAGGAAGGGGGGCGGTGGAAAGTAACCTCACACACAAAAGAAAAGTTGTTGGTTTTCTCCAGTCAGCCTGGCAGGAGCGATCTTCCTGGCTGACAGCCAGAAGTGCGTCACGGCCTGGAGTCTGCTTTCTTTAAAGGCGCAGCGCGCTTCCGCGGAGCCCCGGCCGGGCCGGGCCAGGCCGCGCGGGCTGGGGTGGGAGCGCGGCGGGGGCAGGAGGGGAGGGGCGCGGAGACCCGCCGAGTCCCCCCAACAAGAGAGCCGGACGCCAAGGGGAGGGCGCCAGGCACCGTCGCTTAAGTGCCACCGCGCCGGACCCCGCGGGGGCCCAGGCGGACACGCAAAAAAAGCATCTCCAGCAGCCGGCCGGCCTGACAAACCTGAGGAGGCCCGGCCACTCCCCCTCCGCTCTCCCCACTTAGGGCAGCCGGGCCGGCCCCTCCATCACTCGGGCCAGGCCGGGAGGAAGCGGCGGCCAGCCCCAACCTGCAGGCGCGCTCGGGGCGAGGAGAAAGACCCCCGAGCAGCTCCACTCCACCGAGTGAGCACTCAGATCTTTCCCGGGGCAGGAAGCTGCGGGCGGCGGGCGTGCCCTGAGTACGCGCGCGCGCACACACACACACACACACACACACACACATACTCATTGCTGCTCGCTGGCTCGCACACAAAGCGCCCGCCGCCTCCGCGCGCCGGCCCGCCGGCCCGCGCGGGGCATGGCCGCCCCCAGCCCGTCCCCCGCGGGATCTCCAGCCCGTACCTTCGCTGGGCCAGGCCAGGATGCCGCACTGTGCCCGCTCCTCCCCCTCGGCCACCCAAACAAGACGCCAGGCGGATTCGGGCCCCGGAGCGCAGTGTGTGCTGGCCTGACCGGGTGGCTGCGCTATTGTCGACTGTGGAATGGCCGCCAAAATCCCAGCTGTGCAGCCTGAACCTAATCCCCTGTTCCGCTGAGCAGTTGTGGGGAGGGGCCGAGGGGCCAAGGCGCGGGACGGAGTTCGGCCGGCACAGACGCGAGCCCTTAACAGGCACAGGCACTGGGACCCGTCGGGTGAGCCTTAAACTCTGCCCCTCTAGTAAAGGCTGAAGATACGGCTGACTCTTAAAAGACAGAAACCCCAGCCTTTCCACCCAGGGGCAGCAACCTTCACAAGACTGCAAAAGAAACCCACAGGTAGTGCAAAGGAATCACATTTATCAAGCACATTTGTAAGACACGGATAGGTGTATCCAATGATGAATTAAACTCAGCATCTGCAAAGGTGGTTAGCCGAACCTGCAGATCAGAAATGGGCTAAAAAAAAACAAAACTGTGTTAACTTCTGCAAAAGGTGTAAAGAAAAATTCTAACCAGTGGAGAGCAGGGGAGAATTAAGAAAAGGAAGTCATATTTTAGTCTGGAACTAGGGGCCGAGAAGTGGAGAGGAGGAGAAAGTGCTGGGGTGCCAAGAGTGACAGAAATGGGCTCCAAGGGCAAGGTGGGGTCAGAGTCAGACAATCTTGAACCTAAAGGAATCAAAGAAAGGTTTAAAGTTTAAACACTGAGCTGTGGTATGAGGAGAAGCATGCTCCGTGTTTATTCTGGTATATAATGACTAACAGTGACAGCGAGGTGAGACAGGAGGCTGCTCTATCTCATAGGCAGAAGACAAGTAATGGAGACACGGAGGATGAAGGAAGAGAGAATGGAAAAGGGATGAGATGCCAAGAAACAGGTAAAGGACAGAAAGCAGAGGCAGGAAGTATGGGGAGGGGGCAAAGAGTGAGGGACAATAAAGAGAATCAAACTGAGGAGAATGAGAACAAGAGAAAAAACAGCGGGCTGGGCACCAGTGGCTCACTCTGTAATCCTAGCTACTCAGGAGGCTGAGATCTGAGGATCGCAGTTCAAAGCCAGACTCATCTCCAATTAACCACCAGAAAACCGGAAGTGTACTGTGGCTCAAGTGGTAGAGGGCTTGCCTTGAACTGAAGAGCTCAGGGACAGCACTCAGGCCCAGAGTTCTAGACCAAAAGCGACCAGAGAGAGAGAGAACAACTTCACAGAAGCCAGTGCTTACCAAGTGCCCACTTTGTGTCAAAGACCTTTTTCTGGTCATTAAACCCCCTTAAGAGGCAGGTACACTGTCATCCAATTTTAGAGATGAGGAAACTATGCCATAGAAATTAATTTGCCCAGCTGGGAGCCAGTGGCTCACGCCTGTAATCCTAGCTACTCAGGAGGCTGAGATCTGAGGATCATGGTTCAAAGCCACCCTGGGCAGAAAAGTCAGTGAGACTCTGATCTCCAATAAACCACTAGAAAACCAGAAGTGGCGCTGTGGCTCAAGAGGTAGAGCGCTCGCCTTGAGCTGAAGAGCGCCCAGACCCACAGTTCAAGCCCCACGACCTACCAAAAAAAAAAAAAAAGAAAGAAATTAATTTGCCCAAGATCACACAGCTAATAAAATGGAATGGCCAAACTCTTTACCACTATCTGCCTGACAAATAACCTCCTAGTCTCAGAATACTGATTTGTAAAACCAGAGACACCTGTGTTATATGAGGTGCTGAGGGTTAATTCTATCATATCTACAAGGTGCCCAGCACAGTGCAGAGCTCAGGATGAAGACACACGGTGGGTACTTCATGAAGGTTAGTTAGTTCCTAGTAGGTATTTTGGTCCCTGTCACCACAGTGTCCCAGCATTTCTCAATTAGTGAGAAGCCACAGGAGGGTTCCTCTTGAGGCAGGGGACTGTGTCCTCAGGATACTTGTCTTCTTCCTTCAGGCTGCCTCTCAGATTTACTTTAGGGGCAAGCTCAAATCCCAATTCCTCCAATATTGAGAATTTACCAGTGCTATCTAAAGAGAGAAGTTACAACCTGATAATAAGGCACAATCATTGCTGATTTTCTGTACTATATATTTATGCTTGAATTTATTTATTTACTGGACAGTCCTGGGTCTTGAACTCAGGGCCTGGGCACTGTCCCTGAGCTTCTTTTGACTAAGACTAGTGCTCTACCACTTGAGCCACAACTCCACTTCTAGCTTTTTTGGTAGTTTACTAGAGATAAGAGTCTCATGGTCTTTTCCTGCCTGGGATGGTTTCAAACAGCAATCCTCAAATCTTAGCCTCCTGAGTAGACAGGATTACAGCCATGAGCTACTGGTGTCTTTTTTTTTTTTTTTTTGGTGGGTTGTAAGGCCTGGATTCTGGGTCTGGGCGCTGTCCCTCCGCTCTTCAGCTCAGGACTATAGCTCTCCCACTTGAGCCACAGAGCCACTTCTGACTTTTTCTGCTTATGTGGTGCAGGGCCTCATGCATGCAAGGCAAGCAAGCACAATACGACTGAGCCACCTTCCCAAACCCTAGTCTTGAATTTATTTTATTTATTTTTGTCAGTCGTGGGGCTTGAACTCTGGGCCTGGCTGCTATCCCTGAGCTCTTCAGCTCTACCACTTGAGCCACAGTGACACTTCCGGTTTTCAGGTGGTTAATTGGAGATAAGAGTGTCATGGAATTTCCTGTCCAGGCTGGCTTTGAACCATGATCCTCAGATCTCAGCCTCCTGGGTAGCTAGGAATACAGGCATAAGCCACCAGTGCCCGGCTTGAATTCATTTTTAATAACTAGAAAAAAATCTATATCCTACACTAGGCATTTGTACTGCCTCATACATTTGCCTGAAAGTCTTATCTTCACATCTAGAATGTATACTCCCCAGGGGCATGCCCCAGTTCCACCTCTCTCTATGATCTACCACAGGACTTAGCACAAACAGGGCTCCTTAAATCTGTTCCACTGAACTACATCTGGATGAAAGGTTTTCAAATCCAACCTTCTGGCCTCCAGAGAATGTGTGTGGTAAGGGGGTGGTTGGAGGGGGTATTGAAGTAGGAGTCAGATCTAGGCCCACTGCTACAGACTTCCATCCCCTCTTTTTCCTAAGTCCCAAAGCCTGCTCACAGTAGCATTTGTAGTCTGTCCTAACTAAATGTTATCAGTAGAAAGTTATTCAAAAGAGCAAACAAGAGCTGAGAATGTGGCTTAGTGGTAGAGTGCTTGCCTGGCATGCATGAAACCGTGGGTTCAATTCCTTAGTTCCACATAGAAAAGCCAAAGTGGCTGTGGCTCAAGTGGTAGAGTGCTAGCCTTGAGCAAAAGAAGCTCAAGGATAGTGTCTAGGCCCTGAGTTCAAGTCCCAGGACTGGCAAAAAAAAAAAAAGAGCAAAGGCAAAAACAAAGAAATGCTGAAACTGTTACAGAAGAGCCAAGTGGTAAACATAATGATGAGCACAATCAACCTTCCTGCAACTGTATGGGGTGACACCAGAAGGCAGGTCTACTAAAACTGTCCAGGCCACAGCCGGCACGGCGTCAGCTCTGAAGCTTCCTAACCTTAACAGACTGACACGGACTGTCTCAAAATATGCTGTCTCCTCACTTCCGCTTCATGCTCCACTGAAGGCAACAGCTTCCAGTTGGGTGGCCTTGGAGGGGCTGAACTCTCCTCTTGACTGCTCTCTACCAAATGACCAAGCTTCTGGGCCAGCCCTTTGAGCCAGCCAGAAAGCCAAGCCAGTTTCTCCAGTGATCTCTTCTCCCTCAGCTCCTCACAGCCTAGAGGCAGCAGGCAGGCCTCCCGGCCTCTGCCTCATTCTGCAGGCTGCTCACTGCAGAATATAGGAGCTCTAATTTTTTTATTTTATTTTATTTTTGTTGGCTATGGGGCCTGCTTTTCCTGCCCCTCCCTTTTTCTGTTTAAAAAATGGTTTTAGTGGGCTGGGAAGGTGGCTCAGTAGTGCTTGCTTGCTTGCCTTGCATGCATGAGGTCCTGGGTTCGATTCCTCAGCACCACATAAACAGAAAAAGCCAGAAGTGGTGCTGTGGCTCAAGTGGTAGAGCACTAGCCTTAAGCTGAAGAGCTGAGGAACAGTGCCCAGGCCCAGAGTTCAGGCCCCCACAGCCAACAAAAAAAAAAGAAAGGAAAAGAAAAAAGGAGAAAGCAGAGAGGTAGAGATAGCAGAGAAGGGGAATGCAGGAGGAGAATGGAGGAAGAGAAAGGAGAAGATGAAAGGAGGAAGAGAAGGAAGAAGAAAAAAGAAAAGATGGCCAACAAAATTCTAGAGAGTTCAGATGAAGCTGAAGGGAGTGGTGTTTGGTTAGGAGC